AGCAGCCATGGTAAAACCATTTGGGCTTGAAGGTAGGAAATATTGTCTCCACACCATCTGCTGTCACAAAGATCTTGAAAGGCTCATCTGGTTGGCTATTGCTTAATGACATACCAGCGATTTTACAGTACTCTTCTGTAATTGATTTTCTGATAGAAGATAGTTTCCTAGGAAATATCTTACCTCCCTAAAGCTGAATTCTGTTCACCCACCTGTCTGTTCCAAAGTTTTCCTAGGTCTCCAAATGCTGTGAGAATAAAAGCTGAATCCTCTCTAAGGTACACCTCAAAGATCTTGTTCCTGTTAATTTTTTCAGGTTTTCAGGATTTGCCTCTTATGTACATTTTGAATTAATTAAATTTCTGTTTAACAAACAAATTCCTTTGGTTTCCTGATTTGGGGTTTTTATTTAAAGTATATTCTCTATTTTTAAAAAATGTAGCTGTCCCGCTCATCTTTTCTGTACATGTCTATTTATTTAGATTTCATTTATTTGAGAGAGAGAAGGAGCGAGAGAGAGACGGAGAGTTAAAGAAAATCATTCACTAATTGACTTGCCAAATGCCTACAGCAGTCAGGGCTGAGGCAGTCTGACACCAGGAGCCTAGAACTCCCATCTGGGTCTCCCACATGCATGAATGGTAGGGTGCAGTTGTAATCTGCTGGCTTCAGTAGATATTAGGAAAAACTAAATTAGCAGCAAGTAGCTGGGGTTCAGACCAACACTCAGATACGGAATGGAGTCATATCAATGACTCAGCCCCCTGCACCACAATGCCTGCCTCCATTCATCTTGTCATCAGAAAACGAAAACCTGGAATCCTAATATGGAAAGATTTAAGAAATTTGACATTTACTTCTAGTGAAAAATAATCATCACAAAACCATTACATGATGTCTATTTACTATTTTTCCTCTTACCGAGTCTTCAAGCTGGTGGTATGGCGTATAACCAAATTGTGGAAGTATTGCTACCATGTTCGTTTCCATGCAGTGAATACTTTTATGATATTATTCACTGACGGCTCTTCAGTGACTTCTGTTAGTACTTTAGTTTTGTTGTGTGGTAAAGCATTCCATTGATGTTCTTCTATTGATGACACTTTTTTAAGCTTGGGGGAAATGATACTGCCCTTTTATAATTTAAAAAGATTCTACATTTACTGAAAGCCAATTTTATGTCAAACAGTCTTACACTTTGTCTAAGGAAATTTGGTTTTCTGAAATACAAGAAGAAAACAGTGCCACCTATAGTAATGAATAAATGCCCCAATATAAGCCAGCCAGAGGGAAGAGGACATACCATGTCAGTGTGTGATCAAGTTGTCAACTTTCTAGAGTTACCAATTACTTCTTATTTAATGGTTGGGAAATTCTCAGCTGGATATAGAAAGTCTTGTTCATCAGCTAACTCTAATAACCCTCCATGTTTCACTTTATGTTTTCATTCACTTAGAAGACATTATAAAGCAGCAGCTATGTCCTTAGCCTTGTTTCTTGAGATTTGGCATAGGGAAAAGTGGCACTTAGGACTGCATCATAATCATTGCTCTTACCTAGCTTACAATTTGCATTTCAATTTATGAGGACATGTCCCAAGTAATAGATGGAAGAATTGGATCTGCGATTTTATGTGTTATGCTCAATTCTACCATATGTATTTTATAAACAGACTCTCCTTCATCTATAATGTGTTTTGAATGTTTAACACCACTGTGCGTACCTTATCTTAGATCCATGGATCTGCTTTGACAATGGAGAGAAACCGACTAGAAGTTTATAGAGAACTTTCATTACCTTTCTATAATATAGTCTGTTCATGCATTTTCAGGGATAATCTTGACCAAAGGCAAGGCATACTTTTAGCAATGACTTTAGAAACTACCATTGTCATTGTATAGCAGTGCTTCATTGTAATATAATAAAGCTGTGGCATAACAGACCTATCAGGTTGTGATGAAAAATGACAGTAGGGGGCCCAGTACAGTAATCTAATGGCAAGGTCCTTGCCTTGTATGCACCAGGATCTCTTATGGGTGCCAGTTCCTGTCCTAGATGTTCCACTTCCCATCCTGCTCCCTGCTGTGCCCTGGGAAGGCAGTAGAAGACGGCCCAAAGCTTTGGGACCCTGTACCCATATAGGGGACCCGGAAGAAGTTCCAGGTTCCTGGCTTCAGATAGGCTCATGTCCAGCCTTTGCAGCTACTTTGGGAAGTGAATCAGCTGAGGGAAGGTCTTTCTCTCTCTCTCCTCTCTAAAATATGCCTTTTCAATAAAAATAAATAAATTTTTTTTAAAGATTTATTTTTATTATTTTTTTATTGGAAAGGCGGATATACAGAGAGGAGAGACAGAGAGGAAGATCTTCCGTCCGATGATTCACTCCCCAAGTGAGCGCAACGGCCGATGCTATGCCGATCCGAAGCCAGGAGCCTCTTCCGGGTCTCCCACATGGGTGCAGGGTCCCAAGGCTTTGGGCCGTCCTCTGCTGCTTTCCCGGGCCACAGGCAGGGAGCTGGATTGGAAGCGGGGCTGGCGGGATTAGAACCGGCGCCCATATGGGATCATGGCGTGCAAGGCGAGGACTTTAACCACTTTTACCACCGCGCCGGGCCCAAAAATAAATAAATCTTAAAAAAAGAAGAATGACAGTAGGAATGGAAGTTGGCATAGGAGCAAATTGCATATGGTTTGAAATGACATGCTGAAGGGTTCAACTTTATTTGAAGGCATTAAATAATAATTTTTCTGGCCTGAGGAATAACTTGTTGCAGTCTATATTTTAGTATTTCTCCAATTATTTAAAAAGCTGATTGGGGATTTTCATTACTGTAATTCAATAATTTCGTGTATTTCTTATCCGATTTCCAGGGGGAGAAGATGTTAATGATTAGAATGTCCATAACAAAATTTTTCTCCTGTGGTGAAGAGTAGCAAAGAAATATTAATAGAGAAATTTCAGTTTAGTATACCCCATTATTTTTCCAGTGATGAGTGCTGTTGGCTTTACTTTAATGTTGTTACATTATAAACAGCCATATTTCTGAAAACCATTATGACACAATATATTGATGGTTCATGGTGAGTTTTGTGAGTAATAATCGTTAAGAATTTAGATGAACCTTTACCTGAAACAGTTAACAACCTGACAGTAATATATATAACATAATCCATGGTCTAACTAAACATTAGTTGTACTCTATAAAAAACTTTCCCAGTATTACATATAGTTGGAAGGGGCTTGGAGGAGGAGGGGCAGATATTTGGTTTAGCAGTTCAGCCAACTCTTGAATACCCATTTCCTGTTATTGGAGTCCCTGAATTCAAGTCTGAGTTCTCCTTCCTGTTCTAGTGCCCTACTCATATACAACTTCAGATGCAGCAAGTATTAACCCAGGTACTTGAGTCCTGAGATCCCTATTCCTGGCTTCAACCTGGCCCAGCTCTGGGTGTTACAGCCATTTGGGAAGGGAAACAGTGAATGAAAGACCTGTGTTTTTCACTGTTTTTCAAATAATAAATAAATCTCACCACTCTAAAATGCTTGTGTTCTGTATCAGAGTGCCTGCTTTGAGTTTCAGCTACTCCACTTCTAATCGAGTTCCCTACTAATGTGCACCCCTAGAAAGCAGATCAAATACTTGGGTCCCTGTCACCCCCATGGGAGACCCGGGTAGATTTCCAGGATGCTTTAGGTTGGCTCAATCCCAGCTGTTCACGGCATGGGGGGAAAGAATTAGCAGATAGACTGTCTCTTCTGTGTCTTTGATATGAAAATAGAAATTCAATAAATAAAGTTTTACAAAGAGATGCTAAACTGACAGCTATTCAGAAGGGTAGTAATCAAAGCTTCAAGTAATCAAGGAAGACTTCTTAGAGGAGGGAGGACTTGAATGTGAATTAGTTCTCATCATTTATAAATTCAGAAGAAGTTTGTCCAAAAGAAGCAGCTGCTAAACGAACACAGACTTCGGCTGACTGGAGTGGTCTGTGTTCGTAGTGACATCCTATCACATCCTAGGTTAGAATCAGTTATGTTTGACTAAATCATGAACATGAACCCAAAGTTTCACATTGTCTCAAGTTTCATATTCTTGAAACTAAGAAAATTATCATTGTTCCTGCATGATTCTTCAAGGCTTTAAAAATAGGGTATTTAAGTCCTCGTGTAATTTTTTGGTTTACTGCCTTTATAATCCAACTGGAGTATTCTATTCCAAGGTGAGCATCCCTAACTAACAAGTTTCAAATCCAAAATGCTTCAGGATCCAAAGCTACTCAAACACTAAAAACACAGTGAAAAATCCCACATCTGACCTTATTTGATGGATCACATCAAAAAGCAGGTACACTAAAAATATTGTATAAAATTATCGTCAAGCTATGTGTGTATGTGAAACATAAATGAACTTCATGTTTAGAGTTGGATCCTATTCCCCAAGATAACTCTCTGTTCGTGCAAAGAAGCCAAAACCTGACATTTGAAATATTTCTGATCCCAAGTGTTTTGGGATATCCAACCTAAAATTAGAAAATTCGTGAAATTAGGAAGGAAATGTAATCAGCTGCTTTGACAACCCTGGTGTATATATTCTTTTTATGTTTTGTGGGAATAAGCTTGATAAAACCCATTTGTTCAAAGGTACTTGGTGCACGTCTTAGCTGTCGAGGAGTGGTCATGAGAGTCTCTGCCCTCACAGACATGTTCTGGCTGTTGGCAAAGTGACAAGGGTTGGAAAGCAGAAAGATAGATGATCATTCAGGGACGGAAGAAGTAGGAGGAGGCTGTCATTTTCAATCAGGCGGTCAGAGCAGGATGTCTAAAAGGAAGAAAATGTTTCTGCAAATTCAGTGAGCACAATTTACATAATGGATATCCATGGCATTTTCCTAAAAGCTTTTGATAGTTGATTTCACTCATAAGAATTTATTTGCAAAAGTACAGAAGGGAACAAAAATAGATGTTCAATTCTGTTTTCCCACTTGATGATTTTTTTCAGATGAATGCACTGGACACCCTTGGTCAGACTGCTTTGCATAGAGCCGCCCTAGCGGGCCACCTGCAGACCTGCCGCCTCCTGCTGAGCTACGGCTCAGATCCCTCCATCATCTCCCTACAAGGCTTTACAGCAGCACAAATGGGGAATGAGGCAGTGCAGCAGATTCTGAGTGGTGAGTCCAAACAATATGTTTTGTGTTTTCTAGCCCATTTCCGCTGAAGTACACCAACAAGCTATCCTACTTTAAGTAGGTCTTTAGAACGTTTCTCTGCCTGTTTCCCCTAACCCTTCTTCCCCCTCCCCCCCAACCTGTGCTTGCTTGCAGTTTAGCATTTGACCTTTCCCCATCTCTCTTTGGTAGTGTGAGATGTAGGTAGCCTGAGAAGAACCACATTTTTTTATTTTATGATTGAAAACCTGACTTGCAGGTGTTGTGATCAAACATAACTTAAGACTCATGTAAGCATGTAAAAATAATAATGGCTCTAAAATCAATCAAAGACAGAAAATTCTAAGTTATTCATATGGTAATGATGCTTAATTAATTGTTCTTATATGTAGAATGTTCTGACCTGCTTTTGTGATTCTTCATTGTACTTATGTGAAATTATTTTGTCTTTTTCTGGTTTAAATGTAATTACAAAATCTTGCTCAGTGTTACAGTATTTGCCTAGTTCAGTACTGGGTATTTTGACTGTTTAGTTTGTTGAAGAAGATCAAACGTTAATATGCAAATAGACTCTGGTTTCCTGATTCCTAAAAGGGGAAAAAGTAACACATTCTACCCACTGAGGAACGATTAATGACATTTAAAAAAAGCTTAATATCATTGAGTCTTCTCTGCTATCTTTTTGGTTTTGTGTGTGGAGTATATCTGCTACAGACAGATAGAAAAACGTGGAAGAATGGAAAAAGTTACCGATTTAGGGCCCTGAGTCATGTGATTCTTACTCTGCGTGATACAGTACCCACTTTTTATAACAAATGTTGTGGCATCTACATTACTATGCCAAAATGACATTCATGGGTACTGTGATCTGACAACACCATTGTCTTCCCCAAATTACGCAAAATAATGTGGGCGGAAAGTAACAGTAGGTGAAATAAAATAATAATTATTAAGTAATAATTTGGATGTGGCCACACCATAAGACAGATTGACCCCATACGTTGTTAAAGGGCTTTCAGGAAGTGAAGTCCAGTTGAGAGTGACTGCAGCATGCCAGCACGGAGTCTGCCAAGGCCCACAGAAATCACGGCCTGTGGTATTGTGAAAACTACTCAGTAGACTTTATTTTCCTAATGAAAATTCGTTCTTACATAGTGAACATTAACTGATGTCTTCATAGGCAAAACCTACCTATGATATCTCGGAAGGAATGAAACTTGCTCATGTAGAATTATCAGCTTAAACTGTTAAAAACATGACTTTTACTTCCTGTTTTACAGAGCAACAGAAAGTTTGCTTAAAGTAGTTACCCTCTGTGACTAAGAAGTGTTTCTGTCTTTCTCCATAAATTCTAGTAATTTTTTACAAATTGTTTCCAGTTGAAATACTCTGACTTTTAAAATTTTCTACTAAGCATCATTTCATGCAAAATGTTACTGGTTTCTGTAAATAGTAACCATGAATCAAATGTACAGCTGTTGCGTTAAGATTTCTAATATTACTGTGCATAACAAATTGGAGGGAGAGAAAGGATTGAATAAATCAAACAGGTTAGAGCCACAAACTACTTTTAAATGTCTTCTCAATGTTGCTGAGGTGTATTAGTTCTACAGTTACAAATAATGAATCATATGGGCCTGGTACAGTAGCCTAGTGGCTAAAGTCTGCATCTTGCATGTGCCGTGATTCTATATGGACTCCAGTTCTAATCCCGGCAGACCTGCTTCCCAGCCAGCTTCCTGCTTGTGGCCTGGGAAAGCAGTCGAGGACGGCCCAAAGCCTTGGGACCCTGTACCCACCCATGTGGGAGACCTGGAAGAAGCTCCTTGCTCCTGGCTTCAGATTGGCTCTCCTCCAGCCACTGCAGCCACGTGGGGCGTGAACTAGAGCGTAGAAGATCTCACTCTCTGTAAATCTGACTTTACAATATAAATAAATAAAATTTTTTTAAGGTTTTCAATTATTTTGGCAAATCTACTTTAAAATCGAGTGTAAAATAAGACTATCTATATATAAAATTTTAACTTTAAACATACCAGTACATTTTTAATAATTGATCTGAAGATAATGTAAATAATAGAGATGTATGGTCTAGTCTTGCCCTTCAAAAAGGTTTATTTTTGTTTCCTTATGGGAATTGTTTCTTGTTTGATGGAAAATATATTTCTTAAAATTTTTATTGATTTCATTCTTTGAAAGAGAGATCATTCTCCCGTCTGCTGGTTCGCACCTCCGAATACCCACAGCAGCCAGAGGTGGGGTTCCGGGAGAGAATAACAGGAAGCGCAGCACCCGGAGCATCTGCCTCCAGCAGTGTGGCAGCAGGAAGCTGGAATGGGGAGAAGAGCCAGGATTCCAACTCAGGCATTCCAGATTGGGATCTGGCACTACACAAACACTGTCCCTGAGAGTATAACTTTTTACACGTGATCTTAGCCAAAAGGCCGAGAAGCAATTGAGAGTATAACTTTTGAAACTGGTATTTCTACCAGGAAATTTTGTTTCTATAAACTATGGACCATGTAGTTGAATTTTTCAGCAGTAATTCATTTATTAATCCAATTTCAGAGTATATCTGTGGTCCCTGAAAAAAAATGTGTTGATAATATAAATTATAAATAGTAAGTTGTTGGGATTTTGTTCCGAGTCCTAAAGACCCATTGAAACACACTTATTAATACTGAATTTGATATTGACTTTCGAAGCTTAAAGTCTGTAGTTGCTAGACAGTCATATTAATAAAAATGTAGAGGCTGGCATTGTGGTACAGGGAATTAAACTTACCACCTGAGACAGTGCATCCCCTGAGGGCTCCAGTTTGAGTCCCAGTTGCTCTGCTTCTGATCCGGCTCCCTGCTAGCACACCCCTGAATGCAGCAGATGCCCCAAGTGCTTGGCCCCTGCCACCCACATGAGAGACCTGAATGGAATCCCTAACTGTTGGCTTCTGCCTGGTGAGGTGCTGCCATGTTGGGGAGTGTACCAGTGGATGGAAACGTTTCTGTCTCTCCCTCTCTGTTACACTGCCTTTCAGATAAATAAATATTTATGCATTTAATTATATATATTTATAATAGATATGTATCTTAAGTTTTCATTGTTAAGTTACTAGAAATAGTTTTCAAAATTAATGTGAGAATAAAGATAACAAAATGAGTAGAATTTTATGATCAGCCATTGAAAAACATCATTTCATAAAATTTACTTTCTCTAGGTTGGGAGACCACTAGTTACAACTGAACTACATTTAAATTAATTAAATAAACTGAAAATCCGTTCATCCCTTACACTACATTTCTGGCACTCAGCAGTCACATGTGACCAGTAGCTTCCATATTAGCAAAGATAACAAGTATTCCCAGCATCACACACAATTCTTTTAGACAAAACTTTTAGGGTAGACTGTGACCCAAATTTTTTTGGATTGTGTATCCTGGCATGTAATAAGCATTACTTTCATGTAATCATACACGCAGATGAAGACTTAGAGTCTTATGACAACTAAATTAAACATTAAAAATCACAGTTACAGTAACAAATCGAAATAAACTGCTAAGATTTGTTGCCAGGATAGTAGTCTAATACTCAATAAAGAACTAATTTTAAAAACTGCCTTCCAGCCTCTGAAATGTTTTTTTGTTTTGTTTTGTTTGTTTCTTCTACTGGTAAGCCAAAGTAGGATTGTACAAAAAAATTAGAGCCCTATTGTCAATTTTGTTTTTACCCTAGGTGAAGTCTTTAATTTCATATTCTACAAAAGCTAATATACTTAAAAAGGATCTTAGTAATACAGTATTTTGCATAGCAGTTACTCTCCCTTTACCCGAATTCCTTTTTTAACTGCAGCTTTTAAAATGCGTACTTGTGTATTTGTTTATTTGAACAGGTGGGTGACCAGGAGGGAGAGAAGGAGAAAAGAGTACTAGTGAGCAAGAGAGCTCTCTCATGTTCTGGTTTACTCCACAAATGACTGCAGCAGTCAGGACTAGGCTGGGCTAAACCCAGGAGCCTCCCACAAGGCACTGGGAATCCAAGTGCTACCTGCCAGGTGCAGTAGCCAGAAGGCAGATTGGAAGGAGAGAGAGGCTGGCACTGAATCCCAGGCACTGCTATGGGGTGTAGCTGTCCCAAGCAGCTGGTTAACCTCCTGGCCATGTACCACCCTAACTTCACTTTTTAAATACCCATCATGTTAGTATAAAATTTACCTTACTACAAAATCCCTTGGTCAATATGTGCATATACATATATACTCAACAATCAATACAGTAATTTAACCATTATCTAGCTTTTTTTCATTCTACGCTTTAAGGAGGACTAACCTTTCCTTTTTCAAGAAACATTCTTAAATTTACGTAAAATGTTTTGTTTGACGAGAAAATATGCACATTTGTGTGTTAAGGTGGGTATTTGCCAACTTCCAACAAGTCCTTAGAATTCAAAAATTCTGCCATATTATGTCCAAAATTTTAGGGTAATAATCACTATTTTATTTTGTTTAAATGATTGATTAAAAGTATCAGATTGATAAATAATCAGTGAACTTTATCAACTGCCACTATCATAGAGATATAATACACATGGACTTTTTCACCAGTAAATGCAATAACTTTCATGCAGTTTGCACATAGATGAAGCAATAAAGGCAACAAAAGGAAAAACTAAAGTTCAATATTCACATTAACCCCAAAATAAACTAGTATGGAAGTTAATTCAGCAGGTGTTTTGTGACTGTTTCCCACATGGAAAATAATGTAGAGATGTGCAAGATCTGACTCCTCAATAAATTGCACAAGCTAACAGAGATGCAATGGAGCTTTTTTTTTTAAAGGAATAATTAATTTTACAAAGTGCTTCATTTTATGAAACGTTCTCCACTTTAATCTTGGCATTTTATGTGTTAAATATTAGTAGGATGATGATAGTCAAATAGTTTGTCTTCTGTTGAAGAATTTTCATCACTTCCTGTTTGAAAGTTGCTCTCCTGAACAAAGCACTTTGAACTATAAGAACTGAAGTGTTTCTTCTGAAATGTAGAACCTCTTTATGGTGTCACTTGATCTTCTCACTTGGACAGCGAGCTTTAAAAGGTGTCTCTGATCATAGGATAGAGCAATCTTAAGTCTGAAACACACTGGAAAGGAAACCAGTTCTCACTTTGTAATGTAAAAACTAAGCATTGTCCAAAGTGACAGAAAATGAAACTCATTCCAAATAGCAGGTTTCATGGAGCTTAATCTTTTTAAATTATATGCGTATGCACTCCTTACAAAAGCAACACCTAATGTCCATGGCCATACTTTGAATGATATAAGTTGTTTTCTTTCAATTTATAATATTTGGAGTAAACAAAATGAATTTTCATTGGCTTATATTGGATTATTCAAAATACCTCAATTTTTAGCCTCTTGATTTCTGTTTTTTACTGTTTGTTTGAAAGTCAGAGTTCCGGAGAGAGAGGCAGGGAGTGAAAGGAGAGAAACAGATCAAGATCCACTGTACATTCACTCCCCAGGTGGCCACAACAGCCAGGGCTGAACCAGACCAAAGCTAGAACCCACATCTAAGTTTCCCCATGGGTGGCAGGGACCCAAATACTTTGGTCATCTTGTGCTGCTTTTCCCAGACATTTAGCAGGGAATTTGATCAGAAGTGGAACAGTCAGGGCACAAACAGGTGCCATATGGTATGCCAGTATCACAGGTGGCAGTGTTACCCACTCTGCTACACCACCGGTCCCAGCCTCTAGAGTTGACTGCCCATTTATATTTTATTTGACATTCTTATACCTTCCAATTACACATTACCTTTCCCTGAAATGTGAATTAAACAGATGTCTATAAATACAGACCATTTTTATTTACCAAATATATTTTCTAAGATAATTCTGATTTCAGGAATAATTTTATATTGAAGCTAAAAATTAAAAATGAACAATGGGTTTCTACAACAGAACTGACATGGCTTTTATAAATCAAAGTATCATAAATATATTCTTGATCTTCAGTTTTCAAATTTCCTCATTCCCTTTGGTCAATTTTTTTATTAGAATATTTGAGGAAAGAGTAGTAGGGGCATGGAGGATTGTGTGTATCGGTACTTATTTACATTTGGCTTGGAGAGATATAGATTAAAGGAAGGAAAAACTTCCAATTGGAAAAAAAAATATTAAAGGCAACTCCATATTAGAGCTTAGAAATTCCTGATGCCTTAATTTCTTTGCACTCACCAAATAGTCTTCCCTCCTTAGTGACTTTGCAGTATCTTAAAAAGTAACAATAAATCTTCTCTTATGCAGAAAGTACACCTGTACGCACATCTGATGTTGACTACAGGCTTCTAGAAGCGTCCAAAGCTGGAGACTTGGAAACTGTGAAGGTAAGCGAGTGCTTTTACTACTGAGGCCATGCTGTTGGACTTTGCAGTCCAATCCACTGGCAAGCTTCTAAGTGAAACTCCCCAAATCCAAGCAGCGAAAAAACTGGGCAGAGTAGACCCAAGGACAGAAGGAATCGAACTACCCTGAAGCTCTTCCCATGCTGTGCTTCATTGCCATTGAGCCATCAAAAGGAGAGGTGTGCGCACACACATGATTCTAGTGATTTTTCTTCAGAAGCCAGGAAGGCTCCTTTATTTTCACTTACGTTAATTAAAGTATTAAATATTTTTGGCCACAGTCATAAATGTGTGGATTAGTTCAAGCCCAGGTGCTTGTGGGTAGTGTTGGATGTGGTTCTTGACCTTTCCCCAGAGATTGTGGAATTTGCTCTGGGAAGCATCCTGTGGTCCTGCCATCTGCAATCGCTTCTGTGCAGCTGGAGTTTCTTTTCTGTGAAACTCTGCTTGCCAGGAATATTTTCACTCTTAATTTGTGATATAGAAACTAGGACTATAGATTTAATTTTTTTCAAATATAAAGTTATATTATTATTCTAAAACAAGATACACTTTTTAAACACAGAGACACCTCCCTCTGTAATAATTCATTTAGGTATAAAGTTAGCAAGAAGGGATGACTATTCACTTTTAGAGAAAGTTGTGGTGTAAAATTGGTACTGACAGCTGTATTGCTTTTCACAAACTAAGGTGTGCTGCCTCTTGTTAAGCCTAACGTGTGATGTTTGGAAGACTACTTTTAGTCTTCTTGATGAAACGCAATGGTTAAAAAGCTGAATCTCTGGAAACTAATTTCTTTTGAAAATATTGGCACTTTGGGATCTCTCAGCCCTGCGTGGGGATTGTTGGCTCTCCCTTGTGACCCAGACTTTCCCCTGTCATGTTACATATTTCCAATCTCAAAAGCCGTTGTTTTTACTATTACTATAATGAGCGTTCTTTACCCTAGTCCATTTGCAGTGCTGAGGTAGTATACCACAGACTAGGTAATTTATGAATAGTAGAGACATTTCTCCTGGTTCTTGAGGCAGACAAGTTCATGTTCCATATACCAGCAGGTACAGTGTGATGAGGGGCTGGTCTGATCCTTCCCAGATGGTGCCTCGCTGCTGAAATGGAGGAGGCGAGTACGTGATAGGAAGTGAAGGAGCAGGAAGGGCCAAATGCTGTGGGAAGCCTTTATCGTAAGGACCTCAATCCCAGCCACAGAGGGGCCCTCAAAGCTCTGAGCAGCTTATTTCTTGATTGTTACAGTGAACAAAAAGTTTCACCATGAATTTTGGAAAGACATGGATGTTTAAACGTTTGCACCCCTGCTGAGGATCTGTAGAAATGGAATGGAGGTCTATCAAATTCTTAGTGTTTCTATACTGATAACTCATTAGAGTGGCAGCCAAGTGCTCAGAAACGTCCTGCCGTCCTTCTTTGTGGCCAGGAAAATGCCACTCCTCTATTATTTATTTTCCTTTTCTTCCTTTTATTTTGTTTCCTCTTACCAGTGCCCTGAATTTGGGCACTTAAGAAGGCGGGCAGTGATACATTATATAACAACAAGATCAAGAAATTAAGAATCAGCAAAATAAGCTTGAAGTCTTTGTTATTCTTTCCCTTACCTGCTGTTTAAATGTGTATGACTGAACTATCAAAAGGAAATAGTGATCATCTTTATAGATAACAGTGTCCTGCTGGAAGAATATGATGTTCTTCATAAACTGTACATTGGTGTCTAGAAAGCATTGGTATTATAATTCACCTGTTACCAGCAGTGATACAGCTTGGCATTCCTTATTTGACTCCCTACTGTTTTGTAAACACTTGATAGACGTGGTAGCCTCGAAGAGTCAAAGGTGATAGATTTGGAGAGTAAGTCGAGGAAGCTGGAAGTAAAGACCATAAGTTAGAGTGTAATTAAAATCAGTTTGACTTGAGAGTTAAACTTTAAAAGTGATGCAAAGCACTGTTCACGGTATGCCTGTGTTGTATTGTCCTCTGCGTTGCTGCAGTAGGTCAGAAGACCCAGTGAGTGATCCAAGCAGAAAAACTTTTTTTCCCAGAACCTTTTTGGTTGTCTGATTCATGAAAAGGCCAGAACTCTGTTCTCTGGTCAGCCTGAGTTGTCCTCATGTGAACAAAGTGTGGCTAAAGGCATGCTGTGTAAGCACGTGTACCGCGAGCAGAAGCCCCGGGAGAAAAGACTTCGAAAGCTGAAATACAAGGCGTCAATGCCTTTCTTGGTCTAAGGGGGTTTTTCTGTTTGACCATGATTTTAGGCTGGAAGTGTTGGCAAATATTGAATGACTTGATACACCATGTTTGTGATCACTACATTATTTGTGTTATTTGATTGTTGGAAACAGTCATCAGAAAATGATTTTTATGTAAGATATATAATTTTAGGGTAAAATCTCTGAATGTTAATTTTTTTTTGTTTTTGTGTAACGAAAAAAGCAACTTTGCAGCCCTCAAAATGTGAATTGCCGAGACCTAGAGGGCCGGCACTCCACGCCGTTACACTTTGCGGCAGGCTATAACCGCGTGTCGGTCGTGGAATACCTGCTACACCATGGTGCGGACGTCCATGCCAAGGACAAAGGGTACGTGCGTGCCACGCCTCAGCTCTCCATGTCTTGCAAAAACTTGCTTTTCTAATGCCTTTTAGTCTTTTTTGCTTGTTTAAAACTAATTACAACATTATAAACATAGACAGTATGGAAAGTAGAAATTTCCTGTCAGCCCACCTACTGGAAATATACATTAAATTTAATTTGTGACTAATGCAGATATTTCAGTAGCATAAATGAGTACGTAATAAATGAGTGAGTAATAAATGAATGTGTAATACTGGGATGCTTGTGGTGGTGGTGGTGGTTTTAATTTTTTCAAAAATGATTTTATTTGAAAGACCAAGTTACAGAGAGAGGGAGACACAGAAAGAGAGATATTCCATCCAACCGATTTGTTGCCAAAATGGCCACAATGGCTGGGTCTGGGATAAGCGGGAGCCAAGAGCCTGGAGTCCCATCCAGGTTTCCCAAATGGTTCGCCAGGGCCAACCCTTGAGCCATTTTCCACATCTTTCCCAGATACATTAGGGATTTGGAAGTAGAGCAGCCAGGACTCTAACCTGTGCTCCAGTGTGGAATGCTAGTATTGCAGGCAGCAGCTTAGCTTGCTGTGCTGTCACACCCAGCCCCAGTGGTGGCAGTTTTTAGCACAAAACAGTGATGCCATTCTGTATAGTTGGCTTTGTGGTTTCTTTTTTCACCAAGTGCTTTATCATTTATTACCCAATGGCTCATCATTCACCTAATCTTGTTAATGCCTATTTGTAGTATTTTATTTTAATATTTGGAATGTTTTATTTAGTTTGTAATTCAGTGCTTATCCCTTTGAGGTTTGTTTTATTTTATCTTTTTTTTGCTACTAAATCTATATAATATCCTCCAAAAAGAAGCCACCTATTCCAAAGCTAAGGAGTATCACTGAAATACAATTTTATTATTGTTAATTCCAGTATTCTATATTTTTATATTAGTTGTCTAAATTATTTGAACTTATTTACATAAAGCTGCCATGGAAGCTAGTTAGAAATGTAAAAAAAAAGAGTTTTAGCTAAATGATTTCCATATTCTAAGTTAATTTTGTATCTTTTTATTTTTAAGATTTATTTATTTTTATTAGGTGGGTATGCAGAGAGGAGGAGAGACAGAGAGGAAGATCTTCTGTCCGATGGTTCTCTCCCCAGGTGGCCGCAATGGCCAGAGCTGAGCCAATCCAAAGCCAGGAGCCAGGAGCTCTTCCACGTCTCCCATGCGGGTGGCAAGGTCCCTAAGCTTTAGGCTGTCCTCGATTACTTTCCCAGACCACAGGCAGGGAGCTGGATTAGAACCGGCGCACATATGGGGTCCCAGCACGTTCAAGGCAAGGACTTGAACCACTAAGCTATCGTGCCAGACCCCTATTTTATATCATCTTAAAACCAGCCAGCACTTTTCTGTGTAACTGCATAGCAGAGTGAATTAAACTGTGGAGAATTAAACTGAACACTTTAAGCTTCAGTTACAGATTATGTATGTGCTTATTTTTTTAGTGATACATCAGACATGAATATTCACTAGCCAAATCACTAATTTGGTCAATTTGTAGTGCATTGGAGAGCAAAAAATATTTGTTTCTGTCACTTATTTTCAATTTATTACATTTCATAGAAAGCATTTTTTTACAAAGAATGCAAAAACCATCCAATAAAATGACATTTGACACCTGTTTTTACCATGTCTTAAATGTAACTTGAACTTACCCTTTTGATTGGGGTATCTGTGTTTTTAAAATGCCAGTTTGCCTTCTAATCAGAATTTACACTCTTTATAGCTTGCTGATACAAGTGGCATCAATGAGATTTTCTTTTCTGGGAAGAATTTGTAATTGCCATCATTGTTTTCCTTTCTGAATACATTTTGACTCACTTGGATCACCTCGATTTTACCTGGTGCACAGAAACTACCAGATTAAAAGAAAAGGTAGATCTAGGGCCCAGCACAGTAGCCTAGTAGCTAAGGTCCCCACATTGCATCCACTAGTATCTCATACGGGCCCTGGTTTGTGTCCCAGCTGTCCCACTTCCCGTTTAGCTCCCTGCCTGTGGCTTTGGAAAGCAGTTGAGAGTGGTCCAAAGCCTTGAGCCCCTGCACTCCTGTGGGAGACCAGAAGAAGCTCCTGGCTCCTGGCTTCGGATCAGCTCAGCTCTGGCTGTTAGGGCCACGTGGGGAGTGAACCAGTGGACGAAAGATCTTTCTGTCTTTCCTTCTCTGTAAATTTTCCTTTCTAATAAAAAAAAAAAAATCTTTTTGTTTTTTAACGGCTTATGAATTACATTGTATATTGTATAACTTTACATTTTTTTTTACTAAAAATCCAGATGGAAGAAAATCTGGGAGAAATAAAATCCAATTGCTGACTAGTTGACTACTTCTCCCTGAAATTATTCTACTGATCAAGGTGGAAATCTGAATTTGTAGTTATTTACAAGTAGATGGCTATAGCTGAAAGACCAGATGGGAATTACTTCTTTTTGAATGGGTGTTTAATATAGTCAGCGCCGTAGAAACATTTATTATTTTTATTACAAAAAACAGTTCAACTCTGATATTTGTTTTGTAACTTTAATTTTCTTTTGTTTAGTGGCTTGGTGCCTCTTCATAATGCCTGTTCTTACGGACACTATGAGGTAGCTGAGCTCTTAGTAAGGCATGGGGCTTCTGTGAATGTGGCGGACCTGTGGAAATTTACCCCTCTTCATGAAGCAGCAGCTAAAGGAAAATATGAAATCTGCAAGCTCCTTTTAAAAGTATGTGGTTTACATAAAATCATACAATATCATCTCATTTTGTGTGCTTTTCGGGTATTACTTAAAATTGAGCTGGAGTAATTTGTAAGTAAATATTATAGAGACTCAAACATTCTGTTTTGGGGGCATGGTGAAGTATGATATTGTGAGCCTTATACATAGCGTTAGGTGTGCCTGAATGCCTTTCTGAACTGATTACATTTTAGAACAGGAGCTGGACCCATTTGCATGGCTTATCTCATTTCCGATGTTTAGCGGTTGTCTTTGTTTGTTTGAGGGGGAGGGTTATTTTGGGGGGGATGGATACTGGGGTAGGGGGAGGCGGTAGGAGTGGGGCTTGTTGGTTGGCTGGGAGCTGAAATGGTTTGTGGTGGGTTTTATGTGTGTGGTTGTTTGGTGGGGAGGTCCTTGGGCGGTAGTGTGGTGTGTTGGGTGGAAGGGGGGTTTAATATGGGGGGCTTGTATGAGGGGGGGGTATGTTTGGCGTGGGGGGTGGGTTGGTTTAGGAGTGGATGGGTTAGTGTTTTTAATTGGTGGGGGGGGGGTAGCGGTGGGAGGGGGGGAGGGTTTGGGCATGTGTTTGAGTGTTTATTTGGGTAAGATATAGAGGGGGGGGGGTACAGGGGGGGGAGGATAGGGTGAGTGAGATTTTTGTTGGGGGGGGGGGGACAGCGGGGTTTGGTTTGGCGGATACGGGGGAGGGGAGTCTTTATTGTGAAGGTTCTGGGGTCATTTTATTGTGGGTGAGATGGGGGGTGGGGGGTGGTGGAGAGGAGTAAGGGGAGGTTCTTTGGGAGGAAGTGTGGAGGGAGACAGTTGGGATGTGTGGTGGGATTTTGATATTGGAGGGTGGTGGAAGAGGTTGTTTTTGGAGGGTAGGGATGCAGTGCGGTGTGGGGTCTTGGCTGTGGGGGGGGTTGATGGGTTGGGGGGTTGGATGCGTGTAAGTGGGGGGGGTGTTTATACGTTTGTAGGTTTTGGTTTTTATGTTTTTGTGGGTACATATTATGGGGGGGGAGACGGGGGTTGGTGTGCAATAGACTGGAAGGGGGGTTGGGTTTTCCGGGGCTTTTTTGGTTATGACATGTAAGGAGGGTTTGGTGGGTTTGTTAGAGGGCAATTGGTATTAGGGGTGGTAGGTGATATGTTGTGCTTCAGAGTGTTGGGGGTTGGGCTAGTGGGGGTGGGGGGTGGTTTGGTAGTGGTTCCTGACCCCCCCAGCAACCTTTTCATTTTCTCCATGACGCTACTCAAGAGGATCTTATTTGACACACTATTTCCTTTAATTCTACATACAATTCCCCCTACTTCCCCCGTGACAATATGTGAAATTAAACAAGAAATTACCTCCTCCCTCCCCTCAAATGCTTATGTAAATGTTAGGCTCATCAAATGAGTAGAGCTAGAGTAAGTTAAATAAAGTAAATACACACACACACACATTTATACCTAACTACTCATCTGCCAGCAGAAAGACATTATCTGAGACGCAAACTCCATTTGATTTTTCTTCTCTGTAGCACGGAGCAGATCCAACTAAAAAGAACAGAGATGGAAACACACCCTTAGATTTGGTAAAAGAAGGAGACACGGATATTCAGGACTTGCTAAGAGGGGATGCTGCCCTACTGGATGCTGCCAAGAAGGGCTGCCTGGCCAGAGTGCAGAAGCTCTGCACACCAGAGAACATCAACTGCAGAGACACCCAGGGCAGAAATTCTACACCCTTGCACCTGGCAGGTAAGTGTCACCGGGGCCTCCAAGTCTCATTGTCCTTTCTTAGAGATAAAGCAGTTTACAAAAATATTAAAAACAAACAAGCAAACAGCAACAACCAAAAAACAGTGCTGAGGATAACATAGGGGACCATAGTAACATGCTTTTGATTGACCTAATTTCGTATAATTTCTTATAATGAAGGCTCTCAATTATCTGAGCATAGTGTTAGATTTTGAAGCAAAAAGTGCTCAGACTTCAGCTTTTTTGATTCCTATTATTTGTTACGTGTGTGTGTGTGTGTGTGTTTTCTCCCTCTAACCTGACATGTTTATCTTTTTTGACTCTAATAGCAGGCTACAATAACCTGGAAGTAGCTGAATATCTTCTAGAACATGGAGCAGATGTTAATGCCCAAGACAAGGGTGGTTTAATCCCTCTTCATAATGCAGCATCTTATGGGGTAAGCATGCTAAAGTTAAAGTCTAGAATATTTCTGTTACAATTCCCCTTTATTACCACATTAAATATATGCAATAAGTAGATTGAGCTCTAGCCAGCAACTTAATCTGTCTGAATTTTAATCTCATATTTAAAGCTTTGTCTTGCCTTCCCCATTAAGCTTAACTGTCTCTTAGCAAATCATGATTCCTTTCATAACTTTGATCTCTCCATGTTATCTAGTACAATAATAGCTGTGTAGTAGGTGCTGTTCATAATTGTGAACATAATATATTTCAGTTCTACCTGAAGTAGATGTTATAAACCAACAGAGCCAGAAGCAGTGAAAATTATGGCTTATATCTATCAGCAGCCTTCAAAATACTCAAATAACTTGGTTGAAGAATTGCTATATATGGTTTATAGAGTTCAACTGTCTAGCTAAAAGCCCACCGTGGAAATCCTGAGGTATCCTGCCCAACACAGAGACTCTCATCAGCATCTATAAGAGCAAAAGGAGTGTTTTCTTGTTGTATCTTGCAGCCAATTTGGCAGAACTGACTAGTCTAGAAATAGCCAAGGCTCGCTCAGGCCTATTGACTCACTCCAGTAGAAATAAGACTCATATGCTTGTGTGCCTTGATCTCTAGAGTTTGCCTTCTGCTCTCTTCACAGTGAGAATATCCTCATGGTTTCTTGTCCATTCCTCAGAAGCTAGTAGTCCTACTTCAGGAAAATAGCAGATCTGAGTGGGAATACCCTTAAGGAAAACAAACCAACATAATTTTGACTAGGACAGACAGGAAATAAAATAATGAAAGTTATCACATTTCATAAATATATTATTGGTACTAAAATCGTTTTGAGAAGACACAATTTCCTATTCAGAAATGATTCAATTTTAAGTGTTAGAAATTCCCTTCAAAAATTTTCCTTTGCATGTATTCTCAGTTTTACTGAACAACAAGCATTTCTACAGAAGAGCTGGCATGGTAACTCTTTGCTGCTAACTACACTGTAAGAGGTCTTTCAGAAATTTGTGGAAGGAGCCAGCATTGTGGCACAGCACGTTGAGCTGTCATTTGAGATGCCAAAGTTTCATAAGAGTACCAATTCATGTCCACTTCCTATCCACCTGCCTGCTGGACAGCAAAAGATGGCCCAAGTACACAGGTCTGTGCTTTCTCTGAGAGTCAGCTGGAGTTCTACGCTGCTGCTGGCTTCAGCCTGGCCAACGCTTGCCCTTGTACGGGGTCATTTGAGGGATGAACCAGATTGAATCCATCAGAATCTCCCTTTTTTCCTTTCTCTGTGTAACTTTGACTTTCAGATTTAAAAACAAAGCAAAACTAGCAGTTTATGGAATATGAAAACTCTACATCGATTTCTAAATTTTTCTGTGCCACAAAAAGCTCACCTTTCCATTTTTCATGATATTTATGAAGTGCCTTTGTATATTTTATATGTAAGTCATTTACTCTTCAGTTATAATTAAAACCATGCATCATTTGGAAACTAATTTTTAATACTTAACATGAACTATCTCTCCATATTGGGGAAATGGGGACTCTTTCTTTTCTGCAAAAGGCATTTAGATATCTATTAGCATACTTTGTGGGCCATATAAAATTATCAGCTTAAAAATTAACCTGCTGTAGACTTCCTGAATTTCAGGTCTTGCCTGCAGTTGTCTTGGCAGTCAGACCGTATGATTTTGCAGGTCCCATAAGCCAGTGCGCAGGACATTCTCCACCCTTGCCAGACTATATTCTACTAATTCCCTTCGCTAAGCTTCAGTCAAGAGCTTATACAATTTTGATAGGATCATTGGAGTTTAAATCACTGTTATGTTGTCTGTGAGCCACCAGGGAGAAAGGCCAGATGGTGACAATGGAATTACAGTAATGACCTCATCTAACAAAACTCAGATTACACTAGCAGCTTGGTTAGACTGAAGCTGATCATCTCTTACATTGTAGATGTAGGGACATGCTAGTCCGTCAGTCATCTCCTTTCACAAGCTTTACAGCTATCCCCTAGGATAAAGTAAGTAAGACTAAGTTGTTAAGTAATTCCCACTCTACTGATGGGAAAAAGACTGATATGTTACCTCTTCCTCATTTGTGTCTGGATAATTCATATAAAGGGAATACAATTCACAGTGGTTCCTTGCCATGGCTGACATCTAACACAGCCTGCACGGCAAGCCTGGCTGGTGGCGCTATCTGGAGACTGTCTTGGCGTTGCCCGAGGAGCAGTGTAGTACATTCCAGCTCCTCTCCAGTAACCCGCTGTCCTGTCCTGATGCTCACTTCACCGTTACCCCTGCTCCTGCCCTTATTTCTTAGCTCCAAGGGAGAAGAAATGACGAACGTCTTTTTCACCTTCTCTCTTTATGTTATCCTGTTGGTTATCTAATCCACCCTATTGTAAGCAAAGATAACTCACCAAAGTGAAAAGAAACTGCAGATTCTTCGCTCTCTGAAGAGTGTTTGGTTCCAGCTCAGTTCATCTTGTTCTGAAGAATGCAAATGCTCTACATAGTGTGTTTATAGTAGATATTTTTACCTCATTGGCTTAATAGATTAATTAAATTTCTAAGTTTAAAGCTCAAATATCCATCTTAATAACTGCCCTGTTTGGGTAGCTTATTGCCCTGTTATTTCCATTGCTGTGTGTTCATGGGTGCGTCCTCCCTTCATGAATCTCTCCTGCCTTTCTGATTCTTAATTGGTAGGGAGGTCATCCTCCCCACTGAGAATCTTGGCTCTCCAACATAATCGTATTTCATGCCATTTGTAAAACTGTGCCCATATCAAAGCAGGGTTTCTCTCAATTTCAGTCATTTGACTTAAACTGAGGACTAATGTTGGCACAGTTCTGCATGAAAGTTTAAAAAGCTACTTTGTATTCCTTTAATTTGGATCCCCAAAAAACAGATATAACTGTTGTGTACAAGGGAAATAAATAGCTGTCTTTTTATTATCCATAGATGTATGAACTTTATGTGTATCTTTCCCATGTTCCTTTTTTGTTCTTACTGCATACATACCTCAGCTAGATGTTTTAATGACATTGTAGGGCTCTAATCCACATTTAGTCGTGTGGCCAAATAGTGCATATTTCATGCTTGTCCTAAAATAATAGTTTTGAAGAATATATATAATTTTTTTGTAGCAGTTTATCTTTCTGCACTAGAAATAAAGCAGTATGGAGAGCAGTTTTAAGTATTGTGTTACCAAATGATTTCTACGTGAATGCTTTTGCTCATGCCCATTTATATCTTGTCAGGAAAGTTTTTCTTGTATTTTAGTCCAGCAAGATTTTTTTTGATAAAAAATTATTTTTATTGGAAAAGCAGATCAGTTGTGGAAATATAGAGAGATAGACAGAAAGATCATCCATCCTGCAGAAACCAGAGCTACAGAGACCAGAGCTGAGCCTATCCAAAGCCAGGAGCCAGGAAATTCTTCTGGATCTCCCAGAAGAATGCAAGGTCCCAAAGCTTTGGGTTATCCTCTACTGCTTTCATAGGGTGTAAGCAGGCAGTTGGATGGGAAGTGAAGTAGCTGGGACTTAAACCGGTGTCCATATGGGATCCTGGCCACTCCATTGTGAGGATTTAGTGATTGAGCCATCATGCCAGGCCCTATAGTCATATCTTCATTTTAAATTTATCCTTTTGTCATTATAAAGGTCCTCTTTGTCTTTTAAACAATTTTGCATTGAAATCCATTTTGCTTGATATTGTAATGGTGACTTGTTCATTTTTTTTTCTGTCATCGTGGAGTATGCTTCTGCATCTTTTGACTTTCTATCTGAGGTATGTTTCTTGTAGGCAGCATACAGATGAGTCTTGTCTTTTTCATTAATCAACCCACTGTGTATCTTCTAACTGTAGAAGTCCGTCAAGATCTTGCATGTATCTGGGGTAAGAAGGGAAGGCCTAAACTTGGGATATGAGCACCTGGAAGATAATCTTAGCTCTTGTGCCCAGTAAGCCTGTGATTTTCTAATTGCCGACTTTCTCACTAGAGAAAGTTGGATGCTGAGAACTTTTTTCAGGGTTATTATAATGATGAGAGAAGACCATGCATGTGGAAGAGGGACCCTCTAACCTAAAGCAGTATAAAAATGCAATGTAATCCCATTTATGGGTAACTCATTTGCCACAATTAGAACAAGAGCTGTGTGTCACTGTTGTATCTCACAGCCTTAGGAGTAATCTGTAATCTGTAATCAGCTCAGGATCACTATTAAATTAGCATGAGTTAATTGACTAGACATAAAATATGTAGAAACAGGAGAGGGATCATTGTAGCTGATTAAACCAAAGCTTGTGACATCCTCATCTCCTATAGGAGAGCCAGGTGGAGTTGTAGCTGCCCTGCTTTTCATTCAGTGTCCTGCTGATGTGTGCTAAGTTTATGATGGCTTGAGTGCTCGGGCTCCCGTCACACAGGGGAAGGCCCTGCAGATGTTCCTGACACTCAGCCTTGCCTAGCCGAGACAGGGCTGTTGCAGACATTTGGGAAGTTTATCAGTGGGTGAGAGATCTCTCTCTCTCTCCCATCCTCACTCTGCCTTTCCAGTTATTGAAAGTAGTAATAATATACATGAGAGGCTTCAAAAAGCTCTGTGCTTATATTTATTGCTGATTTTTTTTTTTTACTATTTACTGTTTTTCATCTAAAGCATCTCTGTCTCCTTTATTTCTTCAAACCTTTCTCAATGTAAAAACCACTTGCTGCCCTAACTTTTGCAAATAGAGAAAGAAGCTCAGGTATAGGTTGCAAATTTCATGAGAATTTGCATGAATGTAATGTTCTCCTTAGTGTTCTTTATAGTACAGGGCTTTGTATTTTTTTTAACATATCGTTACAACGAAAGGGCTGTTTATTTTCTCTTCCATAAATGTAAAGTACTGATCTGTACTTATTAGCACAAAGTATGCAGTTTTGTTTTCTCATAAGAATAAATCATTGGCCCAATTAGTTTTCTCTCGCCTCTTTTTCATTTCCCGTTGTCTTCTCTAAAATGTATCTTCTGGGAATTTCATGACATCATTGCAATAAAAAGCCTCTGTACAATTAAATGGCTTTCACCAGAGCCCAAGGACATTTGTCTTCTTATTTTCCACCTCTCTAGATTTAAATTATAGCCTTAAAGCCTTCGTAATATTTCCTTGTTGTATTTGTCATCTAAGGCATGCTATGTTGAAGCTAGACTCTGAAGCTATATTGAATTGGCTCTTTCCCCTGGAAACATTCCACCAGTCTTCAGGTTCTCTTCAAGACCTACCAGTTCAGACTATTGCTTCTGCAGATTTAATAGAGTAGCTGAAGAGCTAGCATTGTGATAAAGCAAGTTAAGTCTTTGCCTGCCTCCTGGTATCCCATTATGATATCTGTTCATGTCCCAACTGCTCCACTTCCAATGCAGCTCCCTGCTAATGCACCTGGGAATCCAGGGGAAGATATCCCCAGTACTTAGATCTTCCCACCTACCTGGAGACCCTAAAGAAGCTGTAGGCTCCTGGTTCAGCTTGTCCAAGCCCTGGCCATTGCACCCATTTAGGAAGTAAAGCAGCCAACAGAAAAGCCCTGTCTTCCATGTCTCCCTCTCCTCTCTCTGTAACTCTGCCTTTCGAATAAAAAATACATCTGATTTAAAAAAAAAAAAAACAGCTGAACTGTGTCTTATTGATTGAATTTATCAGCCTTAAGTTTTAGTTGTATCTTTTCCTACTGGTTTAGGTTTTTAAAAGAATTAAACATCTTGAGAATTGTGGGTTTTGCCTACTTAGGTAATCATATACCTCCTCTTGTTCATTGTTCTTTCAGATGTTTGTTAGCAAATTTAACCAATGTATAATTGGCTTCTTTAAGAATAAACTTCAATTCAGCATAGAGAAAGCTCAGTCATGCATACGAGACATAAAATTCATTTTATACACACACACATCCAAAATTGCATCATTTCCCCAGCATTATCTAATTTTAAAAGGCTATAAAGATTAGTATACCAAATTATATTGTTCTTCCAGTAAACATGGGAGTCATCAAAAGTAGTTTAATTAATGTATAACTCCACTGGAGAGAAACTTGAGATTAGTCCATGCATTTGGGCTAACTGAACAAATTTTTTTCCCAAAAATAACCTTTAAGTAAGGTGTTTGTTAGATTTTGATAGTGTCACATATGGTACTTTTGTTTTCACGTTTTATTTTAGAAGACCTGATGACAGTTAAACTATAGAATCAATTTTATAGATTCTGCTTAATCCCAACCAAGTCACCGAAACTGACCTGTTCTCTGAAGTCTCTCCTAAGTATGCAGCTTTTTGTTCTGGTTTTTGTTTTCTAAGTTTATATCATCAGAACAAATGTGGAAACTGTTCTTAGGAGTTTACTCATCTCAGCCATAGCATGTGCTAGAAATGTATTTTTAACCAACAGTATACCTCTTGAGTTCATTGCCAGTAATAACCAGGGTATACAAGAAAATGTATCCATAAGAAACACAATTATACCATTCATACAAAATTAAAGAATACTGAGTTTGAATGAGAGCCCAAGAATTTACTAATAGCACCTAACATGTGTAAATGTGGAAACACATAAGCAGCTTTTCAGTATTTATTCTATAGAGCCTCACTGTTGAACCAATGTTACACATGCACAGTTGTCTTGAATCTGTTATATGGACTTTGGGGAAGGAGCTGAGAACTGTTGCTGTGTGGAGCTCTCATCACGAGAAACAGTTTGGCTTTGCATCTTTTTCTGGATTGGCTTTTATCATTCTGCACCTTTACAGTTCTTCTACAATTATTTCCCATTTGCCCCCTCTTAGGACTGTGCTTTCTCTTTTTCTAAAATATACTCTCAAGGATTTATCCTGTATTCCCTTTCTTAGTGAGCTCATTTATCAAGTAGTGACAACTATTAATTTAATATTCCATTTTATAATCTCCCTAGAGTTTCTCTTCAGAATGCCAGGCCCTCGGTAGACACTCAACAAATGTTTGATTGGTAGCTGAGTGGGTCAGGGAGAGTAAGCAGATAAATAAATGATGCCCAGTTGTGTGTCCTCCGGCCTTTCCTGGCAGGCTGTTTATAGAGCATCATTGTTTTACTTCTGATTCTACCTCCCTCAAGTGAGCCTCATTTAAAGTTTCATTCCCACTTTACTCTTGCCACTTGCTTTTTGTTAATGGTTCCACCTTTGTTTTTTCACTTTCTGGGCACTGACCCCAATCCCACCCCCAGCGTCGTCATCTTTTACTTTCATTTTTCTTTCTTTACATGGAGTGAATTTGTCTAACCCTAATTTTGTGTTCCTTTCAAAATGTCTTAAATGTAGCCTTCTGTAACCGACAGTTCTGAGTCTCATTACCTCAGGCCCAAGTTATTAGTGTGTCTTCTGCTAACATTTCCTGCACCTGTAAATCATTTCGCACACAACAAACTAATTTTTGTAAAATGCTCTGTTAGTTACTTTCCTGGAAGCTGAGGGGGAAAAAAAAACATTGAAAGTCTTTGAGACAAGTGTTTGAGTAAATAGATCAGATTGCAGTGAAAGCAGTGAGCAGAAAAGCAGTGAGTACACACTGGATTTTGAAAAGTTTGACAGATTTGATCTAGAAAGATGTTCTAGGGTCAAGTACTAGTTCATTTTATGTGGAATAAGTCTTAAAGTCTGTGGAAAATGTGTGGCTTGTGAAAATTTTACACCAAAACAAACATAAATATATCTCTTAGTTTCATTTGTCCATGAACTTTGTAGAGTGTGCTGATAGTTGTTTTTGAGATAAACCCTAGTATGTCAGAAGGCTGAAATTTTTTAAGCCCGTGAATAATTACCAGATTTAAAAAATGATTGTGGAATTCATTTTATAGAGGAAGCAAGACTAAAGTCCACTGTACAGGTAGAGGAATGAAATGATCTTTTTCCCCCCAGAAGAAGCTTGAATTACAGATGGGACTGCAGTCACTTATGCAACATGTATATATGTGAAGTAAACGTGCAGAGAGCACAGTATGTGAAGAACATGTGCACACAATGTAGCTTCCCCAGGGGTTTCACTCTTTGCATCCTTTTGTTCTTCAGCATGTCGACATAGCAGCGTTACTGATCAAATACAACACATGTGTAAATGCAACAGACAAGTGGGCATTTACTCCTCTTCATGAAGCAGCCCAGAAAGGAAGGACACAGTTATGTGCCCTACTTCTAGCACATGGTGCAGATCCTACTATGAAGAACCAAGAAGGTCAAACGCCTTTAGATTTGGCAACAGTAAGTTTTCAATTTAAATATTCAGTACTGTTCATTACACTATTAGAGAATTTAATTCTAGGGCTTAGAAGTTTATCATTTGTAAACTTTTTCTGCTTAAAATGAAAAGAGATTTCTTTCTGAAATGTTTTTCAAGTTCACACTACTAAAATTAAGGTGCAGGTCTTTGACCTAGTGTTTAAACTTGGTTGGGACACATTTATCTCAAATTAGAGTCCTAGGTTTGCTCCTGATTCCAGGTTCCTGTGAAAGTGCATCCTGGGAAGCTTGAGGACTGGGGTCCCTGCCACTCCAGGAGACCTGAATCAAGCTCCCAGCCCCTGGCTTCAGCCTGGCCCCTCCCAGCAGGTGGGCTGTAGGGGAGTAAACTGGCAAACAAGGGCTCTTCTTCGCTGTCTCTGTGAGTCTGTCTGTCCCCCAAATGAATTTTTCTAATGTGACTAAAAATGTTTAAAATAAATATAATTTAAAGCCATAAGACAAAGTAAATAGTAAGCAACTTAATTTTGATACCATACTGTATTTTAATGGAAACATGAATCATAGGAAAATAGATTTTAGAATATATTCTCACAAGAGGATACTGAATCAAATTCAGTAAAGTATCTTGTACTTTCTGTGGATCCAGGGTTTGTTTTGTTTGTTTGTTTTGGTTGGTTTTTGTTTATGTTTTTGTCTTTTGGGGGGGTTAATTGTAGAACAGTTGATGTTCGTGGTGATTTATGTAAGTCTGAGAGATAGTAAAAAAATTGAGTTAGCAGTGTATTGTTACTGTGAAGAAGACATTGGGTTATTTAAAACTAGAGTGAATGTTTGACACAGTGATTGTGACGGTGATTGGGCCCCCATATCCCATGTCAGAGCGCCTGGATTCAAGTGCCAGCTCTGCTTCTGATTCCGCCTGCATGCTTCTGTGCATCAGGAGCTAGCCGGTGAGGCCCTAAGAGATGGGTTCCTGCCTGTCAGGTGAGAGGCTTGGAACTCCCAGGCTCCTGGCTAGGCCCTGGCCCATTCCTGCCTGTTGTGTTCATCCGAGAAGTGAGCCAACAGATGGAAGATCCCTCTTTCTGTGTATGTGTGTCTTTCCCTATTTTCAAACAAAGTAAAAATACATTTTAAAAAATAAGGATGAAGTGTCTATGGTTAAATATCATTTAACTGCAAAATAAATATTATATCATCTTCTCTGAACTTTCAGAAAGTAAGAAATTAACACTGATTTCTAATTTTTAACCTAGGAATATTTCTCCCAAGTTGTGCCTGTGTCATTCATCTATTGCTAAGTAGTAAAGTTCCAAAATACTTAACAGTTTAATAATGATTTTGTGTTTGTTTCTCGTGATTCTAAACACTGGCTGGGAGGTGCTAATGCTGCCCTCACTTTGCCTCAGTTATATCCAGCTGTGGCTGCAGCAGAAATGTAAGGACGTCTCCACTCATGTACCTAACTAAGCCTTGGCAGAGATCTCTGAAGGATCAGAATTCTCTGTCTAGTCCATGTACTCTCTCACCATTCAGTATGTTTGCTAGAATATCTTTAGGTTGATTGTATCTCAAAAGGGAATAGCAGAAGCTGCTGTGCCTCTTAAGAGTAAGCCAAGAACCTGCATGCTAACACCTCCTTCTCTGAGACAAAGCAATTCATGTTCAAGGAACATGAAAACAGACTTCACTTCTTTGAGGAGAGAACAGAGATTTTGTGTCTATCTATAATCTATGACAGGCCTATTGTAAAGGCAAATTACCTCTATGCCTTCTGCTTTTAAGTTAGTGCACCCCCTCTTAAAAGGGACCAGAAGCTGCCACTAACCATGTCAGTGTTAGCACCTTCTACAATGAGCTCTGCGAATTAACCCTGATTAAGGCCCAGTTGTCCTGAGGAGTGGTTTTCAGGAGCTCTTGGCTATGCCCTCTGAGTCATCCTTCTCTTTCCCTACTAATGAGCCGTGGTTATAGCTTTCTAAAAAAGAAGGCTTTCTCAGCCTATTGATCATCTCTCCTAGAGATGTGTGAGATCTGGTTGAGGTTTTTTTTTTTTTTATGTATTTGTCTCTTTTTTGTTCAACTCTTTTATCAATTTTTAAGTTTCTTACCAAGTTGTTTGCTCCTCCATCAGACAAAGGCAGCCTTATATGTCTGTCTCTAATTTGTATTGCAAGCCAAGGTGCTAGGGGGCAGCACCGTTAAGAGTCGTAGTCTCTCATCTAGCAGAAAGTTCTCAGGGTCGCACCCTAAAGATCTTTAAGGTTTAGGGAATATGCCCATACCTCCATACCTCTGAATTGCTCTTGACCCTGAGGCCGTGTTTTACTATCAACAGCCTAGGTTTCATCTTTGGCCCTAGGCTGTAACTTTGAGAAGCTGGCTCCTCAGAGGCTGGCAAACCTAACAAAAGGGTGACTGTTTCACTAAGAAGAACTGAACAATTCTTTTCATAGTTCATTTCTCTCTTCCTATGCTTTTTCCAAGGCCAGATAGAACAAGCAGTTAACTGAGTTAGCCAGTCCACAAGTTTGTTAGGGTTATTTTCTACCTCACAGAGTATATCAGGTGGCAATGTGGCCAAACATTCCATTCCAGAGCACCAGTGTCCCTTTGTCTGGTCTTTCAATGCAGCATCTATCTTACAGCCTCTACTAGCAGTCACTCTGCCACACTAAAGGGGTTTGTTATAACAGTACTCCACTTCCTGGTACCAGTTTCCTTATTTATCTCTTGCTGCATAACAAAACATCCCAAAACCTACAGCAGCTTAACCCAAGCATTTGTTATCTTTCAGCTCTGGGGTTGACTGGGCTCAGCTGGGTGGTCCTGCAGTTCCTTCAGTGGAGCATCTGCTGAGTCTGGAACATCCAAGGTGGCCGTTCAGCTTGCAGAGCCTCTCCCTGCATAGTGTATCTCACCACTCTGAGGTGCAGCCCACCTACTCAGGGGCCTGCAGCATGGCTTCAGAAAATAAAAAAGTACATGCTGCCAGCCCTCTTAAAGCCTGTTTCAGAGGCTCAAAACATCACAACTAAGTATTCTATTGGTCAAAGAAACTTCCCAGGGCAAATCAGGTTCAAGAAGGAAATTGATGCCATCTGTTGGTGGAGGAGTGGCATGCATATCTACTCAGGGAAGGAATTAAGAGCTGACCAACTTTGGAAGCTGTATCCTGCCTACTCTTACACCACCTTCACATGATAGGTATGAAGTATAAAGCTTGTCCATAAACTAGCTAATTAAGCATCTCTCTAAAACTTTAGCCAAGTGCCAGTGTTGTGACCTAACAGGAATGCTGGTTACTCTGCTTCCAGTCCAGCTGCTGTTAATGTGCCTACGAAGGAAGCAAGTGATGGCCGACGTGCTCGGACCCCTGTCACTCATGTGGGAGATCCAGATGGATGGAGCTCCTGGCCCTAGCTTTGGTCTGGGCAAGCCCACACCAGGCTGTTTATGGTCATTCGGAGAGTAAATCAGCAGAAAAAAGATTTCTATGTATCTCCATCTCTCTGCCCCTTTGCCATCTAAATAAATAGGTTTTTTTTAATAACAGAAATATTAAGATTTTTGCCATATGCTAGCTGTACATTAAATTTAATATACACTAAAAACACTGAGTAACCAGATTATATTTTTAAGCATTCAAAAAAGTAAAAACCATATTAACCTGCTGTTGTGCATTTCCAGCTTCCCATATAAGTTTCCATTCAAGTCCCAGCTACTCTGCTTCCAGCTCAATTCCCTGCTGATCTACCTGGAAAAGCAGAAAATGGCCTGGTTGTTTAGGACCCTGTCACCTATGTTTGTGACCCAGGAGTAGATTCAGGCTCCTGACTTCGTCTGGTCCAGCCCCAACCCCTGAGACCATTTGGAGGAATGAAGCAATGGATGAAAGTTCTCCTTCTGTCTCTCTAAATCTGCTTTTCAAGTAAATAGGAATCTTTTTTTTAAATATATATGGAGACTCACTCTGAAGTATTCTAAAATAAGAAATATACTTAAAATCATATCTGCTGATACTGCTGAGATTCTTAGAGCCATGAAAGAGAGAGAGTGCAGTGACCAGAAATCATGAGCAATAATGAAGCATTCATTAAGGGAAAAAAAAATGTATGAAATATATAGCATGTAATGGAAAGTGTAACGTTTTAAGCTGTAGTAATTTGTGTTTGTCTCTTTTCGCTTGTGACTTTCAGGCAGATGATATCAGAGCTTTGCTGATAGACGCCATGCCCCCAGAGGCCTTACCTACCTGCTTTAAACCCCAGGCTACTGTTGTGAGTGCCTCACTGATCTCGCCCGCGTCCACGCCCTCCTGCCTGTCTGCTGCCAGCAGCATAGATAACCTCACGAACCCTCTGGCAGAGTTGGCAGCAGGAGGAGCCTCGAATGCAGGCGATGGAGCAGCTGGCACAGAAAGGAAGGAAGGAGAAGGTGAGAAGTGGGACCCTTTCTGGTTTAGACTTTTAATGCTTTGAACTCTTACTTCCTTATACTTTTGTTTTGATGGAGAAGATTCCATTTTTTTCTGTTGGTAGTTACTAAACACCTCACTTAGAGACATCTGTCCATAAATTTCACACACGTGACATCATATACTTCTTCACAGAAGACTCACTAGAGTTAATGTAAATATTACTACTTTGGTAAAAGACTCTCAGGTGTCAAATTAGGAATAACTATGAAGTATCTGAATTAAATTCATATACACATGGGCCCGGCAGCATGGCCTAACGGCTAAAGTCCTCGCCTTGAATGCGCCAGGATCCCATACGGGTGCCGGTTTTAATCCTAGCAGCTCCACTTCCCATCCAGCTCCCTGCTTATGGCCTGGGAAAGCAGTCGAGGATGGCCCAAAGCTTTGGGACCCCTGCACCCGTGTGGGAGACCTGAAAGAAGTTCCTGGATCCTGGCTTTGGATCGGCCGTTGCGGTCACTTGGGGATTGAATAATTGGACAGAGGATCTTCCCCTCTGTCTCTCCTCTTCTCTGTATATCTGACTTTGTAATAAAAATAAATAAATCTTTAAAAAAATTCATATGCACATGTTCCTCAGCTTGTTATAGGATTATAAGTTGATACAACCATTGTAAGCTGAAAACACATTTAACCCACTGAACAGCCTGGCTTGGCAACACAGCCCACTGCTGATCCCAGTTGCTTTCCCTGATGATCACGTGACTGACTAAGCTGCCCAGCATCACTGGAAAGGTTCAGACAATATACGACTAGTTCAGGGAAATGTCAAAATACAAGATGTAGAGTCTGGTTTCAACTAAATGTACATCGGTGTCACACTGCAAAGTTGAAAAATCATAAATAGAGCCACCATTAAGTGGGGACTGTCTACTCTCTACTATATTATGCGTATAAAATCATCACGCTGCCAAAGCCAGAGAGCCAATGATTTTAAATAGAAATTGAAACTTCCCTTGTATTCATAAAATCCTTTTTGAGAAATTTTAATATGCTCCTCTTTTAGTTGCGGGTCTTGACATGAATATCAGCCAGTTCCTAAAAAGTCTTGGCCTTGAACATCTGCGGGATATCTTTGAAACAGAACAGGTAAACTCTTATATATATTTGAATCTTTTAGTTGAATATTAAAAGTTACTAATCTCTACTTCTTCTTTTTGCCTCTTAAACCTATTTTGTAACCTACAACACATTTCTGTAGAAGCCAAGAAGCCCCATATTTTATTTTAAAGCTTTTCCTAAATTGTCTGACAGATGGGAATTTGTTATTTTGTAGTATATTTACAAATAGAGTGACTTTAGTATACTTTTTCATAATTCACAACTTAAACCATAAAACCACTTCACAAGTGTACTTTTGGATTAGTTTTAGTTTTGTTGCTGTTGTTTTGTCCAAAACCTTAGGCATCTGTACATCTCATCTCATTACTGAGATGACTAGATTCCCTTCAAACCAATGAAAACCGTATCATGGAAAATAATAACAATTTCAAAATGTTTAAAGCAATGAGAAAATCTTACATTAATTATTTAGCACAATTTTGGAAAGCAAGGTAATATTTAGCCACTTATACCTTATGTAGCAGAAAATGGCTGTACACTCAGCTAGACCATCCTATTTTCAGTTAAGTGTCTGTGGACATCTACATCATCAGTTATGGAGTCGTCATTAGGGTGTTTGTGAATTAGAATGCTTTCGTTTATCATGTTATTGTTATACATGATAATGAGGGTTTTTTTTTAATACTGTACTGATTAGTTTTACTAACATGGTAAACATGAAATATTGAAGGGTAATAATTCCCAAAATTCCCTGAGCTTAAATTCTGTTACTGATGTACCTAGACTCTTAACAATGGAAAACTTATTTACAGATTATTAGTCACCCTTTTAACTGTAACTTAAATTTGCAGCAAGTGTAACAGAACAATTGTAACTGAAAGTGTACTAAAATCTACCCCTGGATACAATCAGTTTGCATGTTTTGGATTTAATGTTTGCCCTGTTTTCCACGGAAGCTTCATTGGTAATCTACATGATGTATATTACCTTCTGAAGGGCTACCCATAGCAAATTACCACAAGCTTAGGGGCTTAATAGACATGTGTGCCTTAAGTTCTGAAGGCCAGACATCTGAGACCAACTGGGGAGCAGGGCTGCACCCCCTGTAAAGGCTCTGAGCACAATCCTCCTGTGCCTTCTGGCTTCGGGTGCTTGGCAGTGGACTCAGCCTGCAATGATGTGCCTTCAAGCTCGGCTTCATCTTCATACACCTTAGTGTCTGTAGTCTCTATGTCTCACTTATACAGACACTGCATTGAATATAGGACCTGCCTTTATAAGCCTGTATAATCTCTCTCAGGTCCTGAGATTATCTAGAAACATATTTTCAAACCCTTTTCCCAAATAAGGTCACTGTTATGGATTCTGGGGATTAAAACCTGTGGCTTTTCATGAGCCACATTCAGCATACTACAGTGTTACACAGCCCTTCATCTTTTTAGACTTGATCAATTTATAAACTTCACCATCCCAACCAGCCACCTATACAAAGCTACCCTTATTTTCAGGTTTATATACCTCCTTTTTTTTCCAGTGATGCTTAATATGCCGTCACTTCCAAATTAAATACTTGCCCTTCCCTGTTCTGGTTTCTTTGTTGATCTACCATAAATTTGGAGTCAATCAAAAACATCAGCTCTTTATCTTGTTCATATCAATTATACTGTAAGATTTTTTTGTGTGTGTGTTTTTTAGTAAAATATTTCTTGTTTGTTATAGTTTACCTTTAATGCTCTTTTTTAAAAGAAAAGATTTATTTTCATTTGAAATCAGTCACAAAGAGAAGGAAAAAGACACAAAGTCCTCCATTCTCTGGGTCTTAAGTTCAGGTCCTCCATGTGGGATGCAGTCCGTTGTCTTATCTCCTAAGCCAAGTGCCGCCTCTGTGCACATTTTTAAAATACGCTTAGCAAAGCTTCACATTTGTCTTCTGTATGGTGGTGAGGACTCTGCAGACTGTGAGAATAATTCATATTCTGGCTTGGAGATTCCTTATAAGAATACCTTGAATATAAAGCATCATTTTTTTCTTTCCCCCACCCCAAAGTTATTAAAGGTGTTTTAAAAGCATGAACCTGTGTTCTACCTGTATTGTAACATATTCCTTCCCAAATTATATCCATAATAATCACATGTCTTACATAAAAATCAGAGGCTCTGACTCAAATAGCTTCCATTGATTGTTGAAAATTTGTCATAGAACTCCAGTTTCCACTCTCTCGGTCAGTATGCATTTTTTCTACTTATCTGATTTTCTCTGACATGTTTGTCTCATTTTATTGATTATATTAGTTGAATCTCCCAGCTCTTCTGAAAGTTGATCCTGGTTTCATCAGTTTCCTTGTTCTCCTTTCACTGATGTTTTGTTCTGAATCAATGTTTATAAATTTCATTATAGGTTTATAAAGTTATTCCATTCCTTCTTTGCTTTTCCAATTTCAGATGTTAATGTATTTTGATCCTATGTCTCCTTCATTACAATCTAATAAATATCTTTTCTTGACTATTTTCATATTCTTTCTATGTAGCTATATAATTCTCAAATGAGATAAATGCCAAGATAGCATAGGTTGTTTATATACTGCTTTGTGATAAATTACACCAAAATAAATACTGTGTCACAGTTTCTAAGGGCCCAGAAACTAAGCATAATGAAGTTGGTTGCCTCAAACTCAGTCTCCATGAAGTCTGTCTGCCATGTCTGTGGTGTCATCTGGAGGCTTTCATTTGGCCCACGTGGGGATCCACTCCAGCCTCACTCACAGTGTTAGCCTGTCTGCATCCCTTCCCTGTGGAGCTCTCCACAGGATGAGCATATGACACACTTATCTGTTGCTGCTTGACAAATTGTCACAGATAGAGCTTCAAACAACACTTGTGTGAGTCAGGAGTCTGTGCATGGCTTAGTTTTGCTTCTGAGTCTCTCACAGGCTGAAGTCAAGATACTAACCAAGGCTAGTATATCATCCAAGAGCTCAGCTAGGAAGTTGGTCCTGTCCCAAGCTTAAAATCATAGACAGGATTCAGTGTCTTGCAACCTGTTAGACTGGAGACCTCCATTCCTTACTTTGTGGGCCTAATGTGTAATCATCCTTGATCAAAGCCAACAAGGGAGAGGAAGAACCTACTAGTCAACATACAGTCACCATCTCTTGTACCCAGATGCCGCAAGAGTATAAATAAGAGGACATGGGACTCATTGAGTCTGTCCACTACAGCATGGAAGCCAACTTCCCCAAGGTGAGCAATCTGGGCGAGGAAGCACTCAAGGCAGAAACTGGCACCTTTTTACAACCTGCCATTCCAAGTGGTATCTCATCACTTCAGCTGCCTTTATTAAAACGAGCCAGTGAGTCCAGCTTATACTCCAGGGTAAGGGATGCAGACATAGAAGATCTGGAGGGCATTGCGGCCGCAGTAGGTGGGGAGCCTGTTGGCCTCACTGTCTAAATAACAGGTTACAATCTGTAAGATGTGGTGTTGATTTTATGTAAGTTTTAATATTTTTTCATGCTTAGTGCTTTATAGTAAACAATTATATGAACTTTGTCCATTGCTGCTAGAACAGTGTAGAGAATCTGTAGTTTGCTGGTCTATTTCTGTTTCCTGCAGATGTCTTCTGTATGTGTCAGTTTAGTAAGGTAAAGGATTTGGGAGGGAAAGAGGGAACCTCAAGAGCCTATAGAACTATATCATAAAATAAATTTTTAAAATAATTAATTGTTTATCTTGCAGTTAGTGCATACATATAAGTTATATATGCCATATTTGAACTGATGCTCAGAGTATGTTTACCAGAGGAAAGTGGAATATCAATAACATGGTTTTCTAATTCAGATCACATCCAGATAGAAATATGAAGGCATCTATTTTTTAACCAAGCTATCTCATATATGCCTTTTAAAAACTTTGCTAAAAACTTTTGGGTGGCTGAAAGTGAATTGCCCATTCTGTACAATGAAGCAATTATTGCTTAAATGGCCACTTAGAAGCAATCTAGTAAATTATTTCAAAAAGTGAGTGATGTTATGTTCATTGCACTGAGACTATCAGACCCATCATAGCATTTTTCATTCTGATAATAAAAGTCATCAAAGCTCCTCCAGGTCTAATTTGTCAGTTTTTTAAATGTTACATGTAAGTATAAAGTTGGAAAAAGCTATTTTGCTTTTTAATAACACCTTTGTGTTTGAAAAAGAGTGTCTGTAATGGGTTTTCCTCATATTTCAAGGAAGAAGCAAGTCAAGGGCTGGCCAGGGCCGGCTTCCTTCGCGCTGAGAAGCTGCCTGCCTCAGCCTCAGTGAGCGACCCTGTCAGGACTCCGTCCTTGTGCAGGGCGCTGCCGCTGGGCGGGAGTGCAGTCACTGCAGGTCACAGAGGCAGCAGGTGGTTTTGAGCTGTTCAGATCATCTCCATCTACAAAGACTAAAAGATACTGTATGTTAAGCAGCAGGGATTGTTAAATCAACTACTTTCTTGAGAGAGTTAAAAAAAAAAAAAGTCTATTCGTTTTCATTTTTTTTAAAAGAAAAGTTTTTTAATGGTCTGTATGAATTAGTCTGCAGTTTACACTTCCTGCCGGTGTATATAACATTTTCTTACGTACCGTGTAGCAGGCTTGAATATTTCTTAACACTGGGAACTTCTTCTTCTTCTTTATCTAAAATCTAGTGATACAGAACTACTTATTCCTTTCCACACTAATATACTCAACACTTCTCCCTTTCCCCTGCCATGCATGTCTGCTACCTACTGGATTCAAGGATATGGTATTTCCTCATTTTTTCAAGCTACTGGTGCCTCCTGTAAGCAAGATATGATAGAATTAAATACAGTAATCAGAAGGAATATAGCAATGCAATTTTTTTTACTTCTTTAATACTATTTTTAATTCTCCAATGACTGAAAAAATTATTATTTCAAGTGAACAAAAATGTTCATCTGATTGCTACAGTGACAAATAGATTGTAAGTTCGTGCTTATAAAAAATGTCCTTGCAAGGTAATCGAAGAATTTTGGAAAAATGAGAGAGCTTTCTTTTTGTAGACTGAGGAGTTAAGAAAGATTTACCAACCAGTTTTGCTCTGTTTCACAGATTACACTAGATGTGTTGGCTGATATGGGTCATGAAGAGTTGAAAGAAATAGGTATCAACGCATATGGACATCGCCACAAATTAATCAAAGGAGTAGAAAGACTTTTAGGTGGACAACAAGGTAAGCCATTTAGAAAAAATTAAACCAGACGTGGATGGTATGAGGTTAGTGCCAGGGCTGGCATTTGAAATGAGGCTGCCTGGGCCAGAGCCGACACAGCGCGGTCGTAGCCCTGTCACTGATACTGTGTTCCCTGTGACTGGAAAGTCTGAGAACAGTTCTCCCCAGCCCCTCTGCACTCTAGATCCTAAATTTCTTCTAGGATTTCTGTACTTGTGTGTTTCCCCATTGCCATCACCAAACCCAAGCCATTGTCCTATCCCTCCCTGGACTGCCATGTTCAGCTACCTGCAGCCTTCTCCTTGGGCCCCATTTCCTTCTCCCCGCCGTGACCCCAGACCTTTTCCAAATGAGTGTCTGATCAGTTTACTCTGGCTTAAAACCCTCCAGTGGGCTCTTACTGCTTTCAGGATAAAAATCAGACACTGGGGCATGATTCTTTAAGTGATCTGTCCTGTCTCTCTCTCCTTTCCCCATGAGTGTCAGTTCAGTCTTTTTCCATCAGGCTTTGCTGTTTCAAGTCTTTCTCTTTCAGCTTCATCATTTCTCTGTTAGAAACAATTTATAGTAAAGCAAGTAAAAGCTTGAATGAGTCCGATTAATCCACAGAGCTAATAAAATTGCAAAAGTGATGTGACAAAGTAGGATTTGTGCTTGAGTCATTTATTTCTCTATATTTAAGTCCATCCATAAAATTAATAAGGATAATGTGTTTTAGAGCTGATTACTTTTTTAAAAAAGATTTATTTATTTTTATTGGAAAGGCAGATATACAGAGAAAAGAGACAGAGAGAAAGATCTTCCATCCAATGATTCAGTCCCTAGGCAGCCGCAACAGCTGGAGCTGAATCAATCCGAAGCCAGGAGCCAGGAACCTCTTCTGGGTCTCCCACCAGGGTGCAGGGTCCCAAAGCTTTGGGCCGTCCTCAACTGCTTTCCCAAACCACAAACAGAGAGTTGGATGGGAAGCCGGGCCGACAGGATTAGAACCGGCGCCAGTATGGGATCGTGGTGTGTTAAAGGCCAGGACTTTAACCACTATGCTCTTGCGCTGGGCCCACATTGCTTTTTACATATGTGTTTCTCCTTTGGGTCAGATATAACTTCATTGTGTTGCTGATTGACTCAAATACTTGTTAAGTCTCACTGTGTGTACAGAATGCTCTGTAAGAATAGATAAAATGGACCTACAAACACATCTCTGTTTCTTGTTTTTTATGTATTTGTTTAATGTAACCTTACATATTAGGTTTGAACTACAAGGAGTTTAGACAAAGTTTTATTCCAAAAGTTCAGCTGTTTGTGTTGACTTTTTCTACCTGAGCAGTCCACACTTTCTATGTGCTGATTTTTTTCTCTCTCTTCTACAGGTACCAATCCCTATTTGACTTTCCACTGTGTTAACCAGGGAACCATATTGCTGGATCTCGTTCCCGAAGATAAAGAGTATCAGTCCGTAGAAGAAGAGGTAATGTATATCAAAAATGTGAAATTTTACTTTCCTGCAATCTGAGGCTAAACCCACTTTCCAAAGTAGGATCATTGTACATTGTCCTGTGGTCACCAGCCTATCTATTATTCATTCTTCTTCAGCTATGGAAGTGGAATAGCACCAATTTCTGCCTGGATTGGGCGTATCTGTCGTTATTCTGTAGGTTTTCTTGAGATGAATGCAAGTAAGGATCCTATTAGAACTAGTTTCTCATACTGTTAGAATGGTACCTAAAGGTGATACAGAGTGAGCATCTTATCTCATAGAGCTCAAATATCCTCTAATCCTTATTTTGTAATGTAGTTAGAGAGTATGAGTATAAAATACATGCCTCATTTTTGTGTGCCTGTGAGGCCTGCTTCACAATTCTGTGGTGCCTATAGTAAGGCTATCTGGGACCCTCCTCACAGATGGCACAGAGAGCTCTTCTCTGCCGACAGCTTGGGTCTCACTTCCTACCCTTGATGACAGAGTGCCTAATTCTTTTAGATCATAATGCCCAATTCCATTATGCAGACACCTGGGCTGAGAAGGTATGCTGACATTTTCATTTATTTATTCATTTGTTTTAGTGAGCACTGATGTTATTCCCATTCCTGTGTTCAAAAGTCACATTAGGGAACTCAGGACCAGTTATCCTAGAATAGTCTTTTAGCTCATACTTAGCCTGAGTCTCAGCAAGGCTTTATGTCACAATCTACTGTCTCATGCTGGATTATTCTAGAAGGCAGTAAAGTCTGATTATAATGTCAACTAAATGAGTATTCTTCCCAAATAGAGCATGGGATAGGGTGTTTACCATTTTACAAGACACTTGGGTCTTTAAAACACTTTTCCATAATACTTATTTTTAATTTGGAGAGCAGAAGAAAGATTAGTGATAAGAAGGAAGTTATTTCATTTAGGTGTAATGTTACATTCAACTTGCTCTGCTGCCAGGTTAAAAATTATTGAACTAATTATGTAATATTGCACCTAGGGAGCATTCAAAATTTTTGTTCTAGAAAAGTATTTATTTATTTGAAAGACATATTTGTATGAAAGGCAAAGTTACAGAATGAAAGGAGAGCCGGAGAATGATCTTACATCCACTGGTTCATTCCCCAGATGGACATAAAGCCAAGGGTGAGCCAAGGCCAAGCTGGGAGCTGGAAATTCCATCTGGGTCTCTCGTGTGGGTAACAGTGGCACACGAGATGAGCATCTTCTGTTGCTTTCCCAGTCTTGTTGTGGAGAGCTGGATCAGAAGAGAAGCAGCCAGAACTACAGCTTGTACTCCCTATGGAGTGCTGGCATTGCAAGCAGTGTTTGAAGATGCTACACCACAGTGTCAGCCCTGAAAAAGTGCTTGTTTTTAAAAATTTGTTCCATAGGATGTTAACTGAATGTGAGGAATTTTGATTTTGATTTAATCACAGTGTTTTTTGTTCTCAATAACATGAAATGGTAATAATGATTTTAGGTGACTTAATGTGATATATTTCTGTAGTTTTCCCATTATGTTTACAAAAAAAACCTCTCAGAATTTTTATCAGAAAATAAAACATAAAGCATATAACTTTAATACCTATATTTGGGACTGTTATCAAAAATATGTAATCCACTAAATCTGTTGACCCATATGTAATGAACTCCTGGTTGTTTGTTAATGATTAATTTTATACTCATCAATGAAGCAATATAATACAACTGAAACATTGAAAACAATAGAATGTCTTTAGAATTATGCAGTAATGGATTCTCATCAAGTTAATTAATGAATTTCGTTGTTTAGATGCAAAGTACCATTCGAGAACACAGAGATGGTGGTAATGCTGGAGGCATCTTCAACAGATACAATGTCATCCGAGTAAGTTTTTAAAATTTCTTGCAAAAGATTGCCTAAAAACCAAATCTAGGCAATGTAGTCTTTTTTTCCAAGTCCTGTTTTCAAACTCATAATCAGGGATCCATCACTCAAAATAGATGCCACTGTCCTCAGCTCTTACCTCGAAGCGGCTGCGATACGGCTGGATGACATGTGCCACACATTGAGCCCTGCTGACAGCTGTCCATCACCTTCATTTGATAGTGACGTGGAAGGCCTAGGTTTTCAATCTGTTTCAGTTAGAAATTATTCCAGTTTGTATTTACCTCTTAATCTCACTATCTTAGTTTATAACACAGGACCATTTTTTAAATATAGGAATATGAGCAAAATTTTTTGAAAACTGGTTTAACATGTTGAACTACCGGACCTAAGAAAGTCATGCACATTAGAATTACTTGGGACCCCTCTTTTTTTTTTTTTTTTTAAGATAGATCTGCAGGCATAAAGTCCATCAAGCCAAGAAAAGGCCTAGAAATCACCTTTTTTTACTTTTTTAACTCCTAACCCTCTGTATCAGCCAGGTCTGATATAGAACAAGAAAAACCAAAGTAACTGTCATGTTACTGAAACAGTTACTGATTGAATTGCAATGAGACGGGAAAGTCAGTGGTTTTAAATTGTGACTTAAGCACACGGTAAAAACAGAACCTTCCAAGTGGAAAGAGTACTTTTGAAGTCATAAGTCTATCATTTGGCTGGTAAATAGCTTCTTTCTTCTTGATCCTTAGATTCAAAAGGTTGTCAACAAGAAGTTGCGGGAGCGGTTCTGCCACAGGCAGAAGGAGGTGTCGGAGGAGAACCACAACCATCACAACGAGCGCATGTTGTTTCACGGTGAGCAAGGCTGCAGCCGTGGTAGACACGTGGGCTCTTACAGAGCTCGGCAAAGTGGCAATCCTGTGACAGTGACAATGAGAGTTGGGTCTAGAGTGGCTCCTTTTGTTCTTAAATAATTGCTGTTGTGCACCTTCTCACACATTATACGTTAGCACAGGCTTTCCAGGAGGCATAAATCAACATGCTGTATCTGAAATTGCTTTGGAACTTAAATTACAACTTGAACCACCTAGCCAAGTACTGTTGCTTTAATTTAATGTAGTAATTGTTTCCATGTATCAGATTGTGCTTTGTTTAAGTTAAATGGCATTTTTAAAGCCACACTGAACTTAACTATCTAAATTCCAGACCCCTGTGAAATCTGTACAGCACCATGTTAGCAGGTACTGTAATTCACTGATAGGATTCAGTTACAGTCTAGTGATTTGCATATACTAGCCATCTTAGAAAAATAAAACTTTTCATTTAAGCGTTATCTATTATGTAATATGCATCTACCTGACACAGGTAGTCTGTGACTAATTCTGATGATGGAAAACTGTTCCAAAACCAACCTTTCTATCTGCCTTTATATTTTCAGGTTCTCCTTTTATTAATGCCATTATACATAAAGGATTTGATGAGAGACATGCGTACATAGGAGGAATGTTTGGAGCTGGAATTTACTTTGCTGAAAACTCCTCAAAAAGCAACCAGTATGTTTATGGCATTGGAGGAGGAACAGGCTGCCCCCCACACAAGGACAGGTCATGTTATATATGTCACAGGTGAGCATCTTGCCTTCACTGCAGTGGTTTTCATCCTCAAGTGGTAAACCAGATTGCTTTCTTGGCGTCTGCAGACGTCACAGGTAATCCTTAGCGTCAGCTTCCTTCTGAACATGACAGGCTTGGCTTCTCGGTAGCCACAGCTCGTCTGCCTCTGCTCTCCCAGGAGCAATGAAACAGACCTGTTAGCCATGACGAAGGCCAGATTCTTCTCCACAGACATCAGGTAGGATACGCCCAGGATCACGACTGTCCCGGGCTCTGCAGTCCTTGCTTCCGAATTACACCACGGAAAGGCTGAGTGACTTATGTAATGCCAAGGATGCACTAGGACCTATGACTTATTACAAAACAGAGTCTTTCATTTACTTTTGATGTTGCTGTTGCTTAAGGCAAAATATATAACTAACCATGCAAGGTCCAACTTCAGAATAAGCACCTTCAGACTCAATAATAAGCAAGTGAATATCAGCTTTTTAGTAGGAGTTTAAAATTTAGAAAATGAAAATAGTAATAGTACATTTGCTCTAAAGTCAGTGAAAAAGAAATATTCGCTTCCTAGCCAAGCGAAAAAATATGAAAGATTATACTCAGGAAAGGGTGGAATTAGATTTCTCTTCAACCAGTCAGATACTTTATTTTTACAAATCAAGTTAATGAGATGTCTTGTTATTGAATTAAGGCCTTAAAAAGACCCAAATAATCTTGAAATTTACATTATTATCTCATATAGTTATGAAAAATTATGAGAATTATATTATTAGAAATTCTAAGATACATGCTGTAAAAGGAAATTGTTTCTAGTAAAATCTCTGTTGTTAAAAACACAGAAATTCTCAATACAGTGATGTATAGACCATCAAAAGTTAGCTTGCTTTCAGACTCCTGTGGTTAACAAACTGAACCTTAGTCAATGCAAATGAATCGAGATAAGGCTGGAAAGTCTCTTATTAAAAGTAGACACTGGGCCCAGCACAGTACCCTAGCAGCTAAAGTCCTCGCCTTGCTCCTGCCGCAATTCCATAGAGACGCCGGTTCTAATCCCAGCGGCTCCTTTCCCATCCAGCTCCCTGCTTGTGGCCTGGGAAAGCAGTTGAGGACAACCCAAAGCCTTGGGCTCCTGCACCTGTATGGGAGACCCAGAAGAAGCTCCTGGCTCCTGGCTCCTAGCTTTGGATCAGCTCAGCTCCAGCCATTATGGTCACTTGAGGAATGAACCAGTGGATGGAATATCTTCCTGTGTCTCCTTCTCTCTGTAACTCTGCCTTTCCAAATAAAAACTCTTAAAAAATAGAAGAGGAATGGGGGGTCTTCCATCCGCTGTTGACTCTGTAATACTAGAGCTGAGCAAAGCCAGGAATTACAAGCCAGATACTTTATCTGGGTATCCTGTGTATGGCAGGGTCACAAACATCTGGGCCATCTTCCACTGCTTTTCCCAGGCATATAGCAAGTAGCTGGATCAGAGGTGAAACAGCCAGAACGTGAACCATTGCCCATTTGAGATGTTGGCATCACAGACAGTAGCTTAAGCTCCTCTGCCACAACACCGACTCCAACTTTTATATAACTACTGAGCATGGTAATTGTTCATAGTAAATCAATATTATCGTGTCCCATTCTACTCCTGCTCATACATTTGAAAATGACATTTAACTTAGCTTGCTTGCAATTAATTTTTTTAAATATTTATTTTTATTAGAAAGTCTTAGAGAGAAGAGGCAGAAAGATCTCTCCACTGGCTTTTACTCCCTAAGTGGCCAAAATGGCTGAAGCTGAGCTGATCCAAAGCCAGGAGCCAATAGCTTCTTCCAGGTCTCCCATGTGGGTGCAAAGTCCCAAGGCTTTGGGCCATCCTCAACTGCTTTCCCATGCCACAAGTAGGGAGCTGGATAGGAAGTGGAGCAGCTGGGACACGAATTGGCGCCCACATGGGATCCCAGTGCATGCAAGGCGAGGACTGCAGCCACTTAAACTACTGTGCCAGGCCTGCAAGTAATTTTAAATAAATAAATGAACGTAACAGTTATATCATTCTGAGATGTAACATTTTCTTCAAAGATGCACTTTCCTTTTTTCTTCAGACAAATGCTGTTCTGCAGAGTGACCCTTGGAAAATCCTTTCTGCAATTCAGCACCATGAAAATGGCTCACGCACCTCCAGGACATCATTCGGTTATTGGCAGACCAAGTGTTAATGGACTGGCATATGCTGAATACGTCATCTACAGAGGAGAACAGGTATGCGATGCATTCAGGGAGCATGTCTGTGTTACAGAATGCGAGTACTGTGAAAGGTTTAAGAAAACGTTTTATTGAAATATATCCTCTACTGTGTAGTAGCATTAGTCACTTTGAGTACATAATAAAGATAATGAAAGTATTCTTTGACATCAGTTTTATACAGGGAATCTGTTAGCTACTGTGAGGATGATAGCTCAGTGTGAACCAGAGAACAGATAGGATCTCATGGTGTGTCCCTGAGTGAATGCTTTGCCCCTCTATTCCCGAACCTGGCAGTGAGGAGCTAAGCAGCTGCCATGGGATGGATCTGCCTACCGCAGACTTGTCACATGAACTGTGATCATGATGTTTATGTGGAACTGTAGCTTTCTGAATCATAGAGCTCTGATACATTTAATTCTGCCAATTCCTGAAGTACCAAAATAGAATTAGAAATAAATACACACGGAGATGTATACACAGAAATTTATACATAAAAGAATTCATCAGTATGTTCAACTCAGTCCTTTAACATAGTGTCTTACCAATTTTCTGAAAATAACAATTCACTTACCGGAACATAACTGAATTTTAAATGAAAACTGTCACTATGCTGAAGAAGAGCGGCTGTGCTCATTTGGGGAATTAACACTTCTCACTGCAGATCATACAGGTGTAGAATGGGGGAGTGCAAAACCTAGTAGGGATGGACTGGGATAGGATGTCTTTAAAATGAACTTATGGTTTCTAATGCAAGCATGAAAGTGGAATTACAAGATGTTTATTTTGATACAAAAGATTTTTTTTAAATAATTTCATGTCAGTTCTTAAGTTTTTCCTTTGGTTTCTAGAAAATAAGCCTGAACAGATGTCATAGATAGTTAATCAAACCAAAACCATTAGTGGCCAAGGGTGTTTGCATGCTTTGCTATTGTTGTTGTTGTTTTTGAGAGAGATTACAGTGGAGCAGGAGGAATGTTAGGAAGAGAGAGAGCAGAAGAGGGAAGAAGGGGAAGAGAAAGAGATCTTTTTAAAAAACTGTCTGTTTAAAAGGCAGAACTGCAGAGAAAGAATGGGTTAAAAGAGTTCTTCCATCCGCTGGTTCACTCCCCAGTTGGCCAGGAGATTCCAGTTCTCCCTCATGTGTACAAGGGTCCAAGTACTGTGCCACCTTTTGCTTGCTTTCCCGGGCACATGAACAGGGAACTGGATTGCAAGTAGAGCAGCCAGGAACTCAGGCTGACATGCATATGGGACCCAGGCACTGCAGCTGGAAGCTTAACCCACTATGCCAGAGTGCCAGCCCCATCTGTTGCTTCACTCTCCATGTGGTCTCAATAACCAGGTTTGGACTGGGCCAAGCTAAAGTCCAGTTCCAGGAACTTCATCCCAGTCTCCATCATGTATTACAGGGGCCCAAATACTGCTGACTTCCCAGGCAAATCAGTAGGAAGCTAAATTGGAAGCAGTGGTCTAGATTTGAAGCAGGGCTCAGATAGAGGATGCCAGTGTCACAAGCAGCAGCCTAAGCTGCTGTGCCACAATGCTGGCCCTGAAAGTGCTGCAATCTACACATAAAAAGGTTTTCAAATCAGAAAACATGGATTATGATAAGTATAGATTTGGGGGGGGATTTTGTTTTTTGGGTTTCATTTATTTATTTATTTATTGTTGTTGTTGTTGTTGTTGGAAAGGGAGTTTTACGGAGAGGAGGAGAGACAGAAAGGAAGATATTCCATTCACTGGTTCACTCCCCGAATGGCCGCAACAGTTAGAACTAAGCCAGTCTGAGACCAGGAGACAGGAACTTCTTCCGGGTCTCCCACACTGGTGCAGGGTTTCAAGGCTTTGGGTTGGAAAGCTTATGGCTTTCCCTGGTCCACGTTCCAGCTTCCCACAACAGCCTCTCGGCCAGGAGAAAGCCGGGAGCTAAGAACTCAGTCCAGGTCTCCCCTGGCAGACAGCCAGGCACTGGGGACGTCATTGCCACCTCTCGTGGTGGTTGAAGCTCTGAAACCGTGAACTGAACCCCAGCACTCTGACGTGGGAGAAAGGGCTGCTAACTGCTAGGCCAAACATGCGCCCATCTGTTTGTTTGCTGTAATACATATTTGAAAAAAGAGAACAGAAGTTTGTGTTTGATTTAGTCATTGGTATTCACACACTGCATACAGGTATATACTTTAAGAGAAATAACCATTGTCTTAATTACCTTATCAAAAAACTTGAATATCCTAAATACTCAAAAAATTGAAATGGGTGGATATTAGCATATTCATACTCCTATTATTTTCTAAAAATCCATTAGCATGATATATGCTAAGCATAAAATCAAGATGTAAGAGTAGTTATTACTAGATATTGAGATTATAGGTAATTTTACCTTTAATTACCATAATTTTAAAATATGTTATTTATTATAGTAAATGTTTTATGATTGCAAGGAAAGAAATCATAGGGATACTTAGAAACTAAATGTTTACTCTTATGAAATTGACTTAGCATTGAACCATTTCCCAGGTAAAACTGGACTTGGTAACTTGTTCAGTGTCTTAGTAAAGGGATTTAGAGAGTGATGTGGTATAAATCTTGAGAGGAAAATATGCCTTGAGATGAAGTGCACTCGGTGTTTGTTTCATTGCAGAGGAGGCCACTTTTGTGTCACATCCAGGGGCACTGGGCCCCACGGGTGGTGGTAACAGCTGCAGTGTCTACTAAACAGAGTTCTTCAGGAGCACTTTTTTTCTGAATTTGTGGTGAAGATTTCCTTGGCTAACTTCCATTTCATTCTCCGTTGTTATGCCCTAAATCATCCTTCACTATGACTGTTCAGTATTTTCAGGAACATACAAATGATTGATAAGGTTCAATTGAGGAGTACTGGGTTTTGGTGGGATTATCTCTTTAGGATTGAAAAGCTAATGTTGAAAGTTGATTAAACTCTAAAAAAAAAATGCCTTTGATTATAACATAAGATTAAATTTTAAACATCAGGAGTACTTTTGCTAAAAGTTTATTTATCTATTTATTTGACATAGTTACAGAGAGAGAGGGAGAGACAAGAGAGAGAGAGATCTTCCACTCCCCAGTTTATTCTCCAGTCGGCTACAACTGCTGGGGTCAGGACATAAGCAGGAGCTTCATCCAGGTCTCCCACATGCTTCTCCCTGGCCATTAGGAAGGAGCTGGGTCAGAAATAGAGCAGTGAGGACTTGAGCTGCCACCCAGATGGCATGGCGTAGTGACCAAGCTTTACCTGGGCCTGGCACGATGGCCTAGCAGCTAAAATCCTCGCCTTGAATGTGCCAGGATCCCATATGCGTACCGGTTCTAATCCCAGCAGCCCCACTTCCCATTCAGCTCCCTGCTTGTGGCCTGGGAAAGCAGTCAAGGATGACCCAAAGCTTTGGGACCCTGCACCCACTAAGGGAGACTTGGAAGAACTTCCAGGCTCCTGGCTTTGGATCTGCTCAGCTCCAGCCATTGTGGTCACTTAGTGAATCAGCGGATGGAAGGTCTTCCTCTCTGCCTCTCCTCTCTGTATATCTGACTTTGTAATAAAAATAAGTAAATCTTAAAAAAAAAAAAAAGAAGAAGAAGAAGAAGAAGCAGCAGCTTTGCCTGCCGTGCCACCCCACCAGCCCCAGGAGTGCTTTCATATGTTCCACTTTGAGCTCCACATTGGAGAGAGAGGAGACATATTCATTCTGTGGTCGTTGGTTGCTGCAGATTGGCTAATGGAGATTAACCTGTAGAAGTAAAAACTATAGAGTAGTTTATGGAATGATTTTTCAAATTTACAAAATTATGCAAGGGAGCATATTAGTCCCTGCTTTGTCTCTAAGAGAGATAAACTGGGAGCACTGGAATTGAAATTGTAGCATTGGGAATTTGGAATAAGTGTTACCAGAAAATGGTTGTTGACTGTTCAGTGAACTTTGATATGCTCTGGTGTGGAGCGTATCACCAGCATGGAGTTAAAGCGACATAACAGGAAATGTTTTCTTGATTCATCGCATAGTTTAATGATCCCCTTGCTTTAGACTCCTGGACTTCAATGTGATCATCAGTCTCCAGAAGCAGTTCTGAAGCATGATTGGTAGAAACCAGATTTCGATAAGGCCCTTTAAGAAACTGATGGCATTAGAATCTGTCCCAAATGTCCATGTCTGGATTTACATTGAAGAGTATATGCCACCAGAATCCAAATACTGGCATTACTGTTTGCTTTGCGTTAGTAGTATTTCTGTCAGCAAAGAATGTGTGGTAGACGCTAAACTTGAGTGGCACAAAAGGAAATCAGAGTGCGCTACATGCTCATTTTCAACAAAGCACTTGCCATTTGGGTTTTATTTTTAACTTCTCCTTTTCTTTGCCTGGTTTATCCTTCCAAACTGGATGGTGGGCTCCTTGATAGTAGACTGTCTCATGCTAGAATATTCTGTACATCGAAGAAGCTCAGCATATGTGTGTTAGTATTGAGTGAATAATTCTCTTGACCGTTAAAACCATCTGGTTGACTTAACAGCCTGTTATTCCCAAATATTTGAGCTGTGCTAGATTCTTCATACACAACCCTAGAATTGGCAGTAGGTATTTATCCTGTTTTAGTAACTGGAAACAAGATGCCATCAAAGGGAAAACAATATAAGATCTTACAAGACTATAACAATATAAAGGTTACAAAATAAAACTATAAACTGTTATGTTAGGCTTAATGAACAAATGCAATAGTCAGCCTTAGTTATTCTGATTAGATATAAAGAAGGCTATCATTGTGATTTTTTTTTAATTTTTTTTAATTGAAAAGTCAGATTTACAGAGGAGAGACAGGAAGATCTTCCGTCCATTGATTCACTCCCCAAGCAATCGTAACAGAGCTGAGCTGATCCTAAGCCAGGAGCCAGGAGCTTTTTCCAGGTCTTCCGGGCAGGTGCAGGGTCCCAAGGCCTTGGGCTGTTCTCAACTATGTTCCCAGGCCACAAGCAGGGAGCTGAAAGGGAAGTGGAGCAGCCAAGAGTAGAACCAGCACCCATGTGGGATCCTGGTACATGCAACAAAGCGGCTAGGCTACTGTGCTAAACCCAAGACTTCTTTATTTTTATTGGAAAATTAGATTTATGGAGAGGGGAGACAGAAAAATCTTCCATTTGCTGGTTCACTTCCAAAGTGGCCACAATGGCTGGAGCTGAGTCAGTCCGAAGCCAGGAGCCAGGAGTCTCTTCCACATCTCCCATGTGGATGCAGGGTCCCAAGGCTCTGGGCTGTCCTCAACTACTTTCCCAGGTCACAGGCAGGGAGCTGAAGAGGAAGCGGGGCTGCCTGGATACAAACTGGTACCCAAATGGGATCCTCTGGACTATTGAAAAGTCAGCACGTCCCACCCTTATTCTTTCTAGCTCAGTAAGTTACCTAATTTTCTTTAATTTGGTCTCAATTCAGCAGAATTATTCTTTCATTTAGTAACTTTAGTTGAGCACCTGCTATGTGACATCACTGTCTAAGGTAAAGAGGAAAGATACTAGTATTGCTTCATGCCTTGGTTTTGTGGCGTGTGGCTCTCTAGTAAGCGAAGAGCATTGTGAATGGCATTTGAAGAAAAAATAACACCCAGACAGTTCTCTGATGTGTAGGATGTATACATGCTCACATACAAATCAGTAGATTTTGTGTTCGCAAATTGTTCAGTCCCTTGTTGATAGACTGGGTCTCCAGGCTGCTGGGTCTGTGTGGAGTTTGCGTAGGACTGGCAGCCCCTCTGAGGCTTCTGTGGAAAGCACAGCTGGAAAGTGAACCGCTTTGTTCATGTGCTCCGCAGGCATACCCGGAGTATCTCATCACCTACCAGATCATGAAGCCTGAGGCGCCTTCCCAGACCGCGACTGCTGCCGAGCAGAAGACCTAGTGAATGCCCACGGGCAGAGGCAGATCGGATGGAGCCTGGAACTGGAGGACAGCGCATTGCAACAACCACCAAGGAATAGTCTGTAAATCCCTGACAGCCTAGAAACAAGCTGTCTTACAAAGCATTGCTCTAGTGATGAATATAGTATGAGGAACTGATACATACTCAACTGCTACTGTTCCCTTTGAGGAAATGTTTACAGGGGTGGCCTTTTAACGTATCTCAGGCTCATTTTCATTGCAGTTATCCATTTCTAAAACAAGATTGCTTTGATCTGGACTGGGAAATGGAGAACAAAAAACCCAATACTGTTCCACAGGTTCACACTGACACACTACATTTGCTTTGTTAGGCACTACACATGTACATAGCAGACATACACGTAATTGTTTCCAAATGTGCGTCATTGGCGCTTTGTGTTTAGTTTTGTTTTGTTACGTTGAAAATGAGCCAGAACCTTCTGAAGGGTATTTTGCACAGTTACACTAACTGAAGTCATTAGCAAGGCTACCCAAGCTTCTGGCTGAGCAAGATTAGTTTCTACCACTCTTTCTGTTTGTTTGTTGTTTTGTTTTGTTTTTTTTTAACACTTGTTTGATTTTTGGACCTGTGCTTCTTATGAACATAAGTGAAATGAAAAGGAAAAAAAATAATTTTTATTTCTTTTGCAAATTGGCCTATCTTACAAGGAAAAGGCAAAGACATCAGCCCAACTTAGGAGCCCAAGGTTGAGAGAGGTCAAAACGCCATAAGCATTGCCCAGGCCTGCTGCAGGACCGCACAGGGCAGCGCGGCGGAGGCTCAAGGAGGACGGCCAGGCAGACACCAGGGGAGGGTACCGTGACATCCCGTGCCCAGGACAGCAGGCCACAAGGGAGGCACAGTGGCAGACAGGGGGAGGAGCATGAGCTTTATATGATTGGGGTCCTCTAGCAGTAAGTTCTTCAGTTAATCTGTACCCCGCAGAGTTGTTGCCCCAAAATTAGCTGCCTTATTTTCCAAAATCAGAGGAATTATTATACTTCACAAAAGCCACAAAGCTATCATACTGTTTTCTTTAGCTTAGATAGATGCACACAATGCAGGATTTTTTTTTAAGTTTAATCCAGATTTGGGGTTCATTTTGAGTGATTACAAATAGTTTATATATATATATATAAAGGTCCATGTACTAAATATTTGAACTTAAAGCTTTTAAAAGTTCTTAATATTTAGGCAAAGAGATAAAAAATCGAAACCAAAGCCTTTTCAGTTTTGTTTTTGTTTTAATGAAGGTGGTGGAGAATTCCAGTCCCATCTTCATGGAATCACTGAGTGTTGTAACCAAGCACTCGCCAAGCGCCTGCTGACCCTCACACAGTACTATCAGGTCTCACTTTCCACCTTAACTAAGTATCAAATCAAGTACAGTGACTTCAGTTTATTTGACATGCCGTGCATCCACTCGGCTTTAAAGCAAAAGGAATTCAAACAGGGTGGGGGAAATCAGAAAAATGGCATGACATAAACTTGCTGCTTCAATGTAAAGCCTTAAAAAATAATTTAGAGAACTTTTAATGTGGGCTGGTTTAATCGGAAGTGAAATAAAATGGTTATATGCAGAATTTTCAGAAATAGGCTCTTAAAATGCACCATTTTTTTTTCTTTTTTGGCTGGAGTCCAATGCTAGAACCAGACCTCTGCATTACGTTTGAGTTCTGTAGCTGATTCTCACAGAGGCGCTCGCAGATCAATCCGGAAGGTGCCTGCATCATTGCTTCAGCTGGCGGTCCAGTGGCCCGTTGTGGCTGTTTGGGCAGGAGCGCTAGAATTCAGGCGGAGCTTCAGACCCCAGACTCAGTAAGGGGACCTTGTTTCCTCCATTCCTGTTTGGCTGTGTGTAACAAAGGGCTGAGGAAATTGCCATCTGTATCATTTTCAGGAGCCCCAAGTAGTTCCCCTCTCCCTTAGACATAGTTTAAAAACAGTCAACAGTAGCTGCGGTTGTTAGTTAAGGAGTTGAAATGGTATAGATATGACAAGCTTTATGACTTTATTAAAAAGATAAACCATTACCCAGCTATGGTTGTATGTTGTTTCCAGGATGTTAACCAGGTTATTGGATATGCCAATTTTAAACTTGCACCTTAGACTTGAAAAATTAAGTTGTGATTCAGTATTTAAGCTGCCATTGTCACATGTCTGATGTTCTTTATGCCACATCAAGGGTACTGTGAAAAGACGACCTTTGCCATGCTTCTTGTCTTGTAATGACGCAAGTATAGAACAGTTCTTGACAGAACACAGAATGTGTTATCCATTGCTAATGGGTAATGGGTATACCTTAGGAGCCAGTAGCTTTCAGAATTTGAAGACCGAAGGTCATCGTGAGTGTACTCAGAAGTGATCACAGTTGATTGCATCTTGGATTTCATCAGTGGTGTTGAGAACCCTGTGGCATATAAAAACTTGGCATCAAATTAAGCTGAAGTCTATTTAATTTCCTGCATAAACGTGATATGGAATTTGGGGGGATTCCATGTTGGTCTTTCTGAAATGCCCCCCCATGTTTCTCAAACTGTATGCAGCGCAGAATCGGCATATTCCCACCAGCTCTACCACAGCCCCAGTGTCACAGGGCTCCTCCGGGCCTGGTGGCCTCAGTTCACTGGTGTTATCCATCTGGACGCTTGACACAGACAACAATCAAGTGCTCTGACATAGACACTTTGTCCTTACCCTTGGCCTTCTTCCCTGTCCCCCAGATTGCTAGTCTGAAATAAAATGCTCTCCAGCAATGACGCATGGCCCCATTCATTGTCCTCCTCTTTTCTAGGATTACAGAGAAGGTGCCACCCCATTGTCATAGCACAATCAAAAATGGGTCTTAGGCCTCATGCAGTGTCTGCTCCAAAGATTCTTCCTCTTTGTGAACAAATAACAGCATGGAACCTAGAGTTTTAATTCTATGCAAAATAATAGCACTGCACCAGAATTCCTAGTTACCTTTTTCTTCTTGCAGTTTGGAATTTCTAGCTTTCCAATCAATGTAAATAGAATAACAATATTTGGACATTTCATGAAACAGCATCCTTGTACTTCTTTGAGCTTGATGTTAGGGGTTATTTTAATTCCCCCTCTGCTCTCACAATAGCAGAGTACATTGAGATATATCTGAATGTGGCACACAAATAAAGTAATATAGATTAGCATTTTGTTACTATAGCCACATGCCAAGAAAAAAAGTGAGATGTTGATTTCAGTGGGAAAATGGCTTTAGAATGCAGCAAGTTCAGGTTTTCTGTATTTCAGTGTCTGCCCCATTACAGATGGATTACTGGGCATATTTCCTCTCCCTCTGTAACCCTGTATGTTCTCTGGATTCCTGCAAATGACCTTGCAAACAGAAATGGTGTGTGTTTAAGAACCTTTCCCCAGGGTGTCCAGATACGGTTCGGGTAATATCTATTAGATGGCCATCTAACTGTGTGTATCTGCTCTGCTAATTATCTTGCATAGGGCCAGGGACTGGTCAGCAAGCAAAGGCTCAAACCTGCCATTATATGTTGGAAATGTAATTAAAGAATCCAGTTCAATTTGTATGATGTCAAATGAGTGACAGTGACAGAGAAATGACAATAACTATGAAAGTGGCATACGATGTGATGGGACCCAGCTGGTGTATGAAAAGCAAATGCCTCCCAAAATTACCACTCTAAAAAGGAAGGCTTGTTCAGGCAGCTCACACTTCTGCAATTAACAGACAAATATTTCTTAGGAAAGCCTTAACTGTGGCAGAAACTTTTTAAGCTTTTGTATTCTAATAAATAAGACATTGTGAATCCATTTCTTGGTGTTTGCCAGGTGTCCGTGGGTCAGGCATGTCTCGATGTATTCCGTTTTTGCTAACTTACTTGATGAGGGTCTAGTTCATAAATAATACTACCTATAGCAGAATTGATAGGATCAGTCCAGTTTCTCCATATCTGAAATGCCTCAGCTACCAGTTCTGGTTCGGGGAGATTCTAGGGAGATTTCAGAGCCCGTGAAGTTGTGTATGTGAGGGTACAGTGACAACTGTGATGCCTTGTAGAGTCTGAGTGATGTGCAAGCCGTATTTTAATCATTTTAAGCTATAACCTATGAAGATATATTAAAGTGAAAACCTGTAGGAAGCGAAAGATTTTATGTACTCTTTAAGACCAAATATGGTTATGGTGTTGACCAGTTTTATACATTTGCCAGAGAGTTCTTTCTCCTATGAAATAATATTCGCACTGTAGAGATGTTTGTGTTTTGACAAGCATCAAAATTCTTTCACATCCTCTTCTGCTTTTCACTTCCTAGCTCCGCACCTGCCCCATCACCTACCTTTGCCAGTAGAGTTTCCTTGTGCTCCAGGGTTCAGATGGTTTTGTTATTTTTTTTATCTGTCTCCTCATTTCTGCAGGCAGCTCTGGAAGCCCTTTGTTGAGTCGGGTGGTCCCCCGGTGATGGGTTTGTTACTTCACACACCTTCATGTCCCTCCTGAAGTTCAGGATGAAAAGCTAAAAAGCACGACAGCCTAAGTTAGCCAGGAACTGAAATCTGTACAGGCTAACAGCCTGGACCCAGAAGATGACCTTGTCTATATAACCGTTGTATCCACTGCACAAAACATTTAATTCTTCGTGCACATATAATACCTGTTCCTGCTCCTGTTTTAATTTCATGTTTGTGGTAGTAATACTTGCCTTTGATAGCTACAAAACAAAAACATAAAAAAAGGTACTTTTACCAACAAGGTTTCTCAAAACATTTATAAAACCGGCTTGGAGGAAATATATGTTTTCTGACAATAGCATTTGGAGTAGTTACTGTATTTTCTCATTGTGCTGTTGGTCTGTGTAGGAATCAGCGTAGTAACTCCTGAGTTCACCGTTGCTGTTCTTTTGATCTCTTTAGTCTGTGTGACCCATCAGTGCTGGGGAGTTCCAACACACCCACACCCCTTTCTCTCGCTCTCTTCTCTCGTATTTGTCTATTTGTAGGATTGTCAGATAAAGTAAATGATGCGCAATTAAATTTAAATTTCCGATAAGCAATTTTTTTAGCTTATATGTGTCTCATGCAATATTTGGCATATACTTACAGTTTAAAAGGTATTTGTTATTTATCAGAAATTCAAATTTGACTGGGTGTCCTTGTTTTTTTGCTGTGTTTTGCTTTGTTTTTGTGAATCTGGCAACCTTACCATTTTGGTCACGAGAATTTCTTCCAGCATGTGAACTCTTGTAGGCGTCGTTATCTTCCACCAGGAACGGCAGACCTTTCTTCCCTTACCCTCTGCTTACCTCCACAAGAGGGCGCCAAGGAACTTAACCTGCCTCTGGGGGGGTTTCTATTTAAAACATCTTTGTGATTATATTTAACCTGTAATTGTGCTTTGGCTTAACGTCTAACTTACAGTACTTGTAACTGATTAATATTCAATAAAAACATTTTTAAAGTACACTGTGTGTGCCTAGCATTTAGTGCCTCCTAAATGTTTTCATTTTTGTCCTGATCAACCTGAACACAACTGATCTCACACTGGCAGTCTTAAGTGGCAGGCTCTGAACTGGAAGGGCCTTCTCCTCATCTCTACACTTGCATGAGAGTTTCTGGGGAATAGCAGGAAAAACCCAGGTCTCTTCCAGAAATATCCCTGAATAAGGAAGTCGCAGCTGTGGAGCCTGACCCACCGGCCTCCCGGGCAGCGACGTGGCTCGGCACAGCCTGACTGCTGGGAGACTGCGCCTCTTCCTGCAGGTGGCCTCCCCGCCGCCAGGGGGAGCCACTCACTAACGCTCTCTCCCAGCCTGGAGATCTGTGAGACAGCAAGTTCACAGCCACATCTGTATCTGGAACTTGTTCACCTGCAAGCAGGTGGCAGTACTCAGCACTCTAGTAAGCCTGTGCATGGCTGCTCTACCTCGCTGGGGTGCTTATGACTTAGTCTGATCAAATGGCTGTCTTTTTTTTTTTTAGTGGTTGGGACCACTGGATCTCCAGTGCCACCAAGCACAATAGCTTGAACAGAGGACGTTTTGTTTTCAAGTCGCATTTGAAAGTGCTGTCACACCTAGGAACATGCCTCCACACAGGGGACCCTGGGATAATGATAGGTGGCCATTCCCCTCCCCAGATACAGGAGGAAGAAAAAGAAAATTTGAAAACAATGCTCTCACCCACTTTCCCCTGAGCCTCAACCCTTCCTACCCTATTCAACTATGTAAACATCATTAAACATAAAAAGAAAGTGCTCTCACAGTGGGCAGAATGATTTTTAATCAAGGGAGTGTAGATTCATCCTCTTTAAAAGAAAAAAAAAAAAGCACTTATTTATTTGAAAGGTAGGGTTAAAGAGAAGAGACCCAGAGAGCGAGGTCTTCCATCTGCTGGTTCATTCTTCAAAGGACCACTACAGCCAGAACTGGGCCTGTAGCTTGCTTGGAGTCTCCCATGTGGGTGCAGGGGCCCAAGCACTTAAACCATCTGCTGCTTGCTGCTTTCCCAGGTACCTTAGCAGGGAGCTGGATTGGAAGTGGAGCAGCCAGATTCCAACCGACACCCGAGTAGGATGCCCATATTGCAGTTAGTGGTCTTACAGGCTATGTCACAGTGCCAGCCCCTGATGAGCCTCTTAAAATACCCCAAACTGGCCATGTGCTGCATAAGATGCCAGTCTCAGGCAGAGGATGCTGGGCAGACCGGCCCTCCCAGGCTGCAGGGCTTGAGCTGCCAGAGGCAGGGAGAGGCACAGACCCTCCAGCATGTCCAGGATAGGACACAAATGGTGCCCCAGGGGCTCTTGCCAGCTTTGAGATATGATATTGCTTGCCCTGTTAAGTTTTGGACTTGCACGATGCTAGCTACTCCTTCCTCTCACCCCATTACTATCCCGTTTGTGTCCCATGGGTGTCTTTGGAGGCCCTGTCCCTTGTGAATTTCACAGGCTCACAATGAAAGCAAGGTTGAAAGCAAGTCATGCCCTGTGTCCCGCCCCCCCCCCCATGTCTGATTGACATGAAGGTGCCGGGACTTGGCAGTTGGCTCTGGGTTCAAGCTTTGCAGCTATGGGGAAGGGATGAATGCATCTTGCTGCTCTCAGAACACGTGTTTTGCAGGCACAAACAGAAGGCTATGGTTCAAACCTGTCTCCCCAAATTCGAACTTGACCCTCAGGGCAGCAGTGTTGAGAGGAACAAGTGGTTAGGACAGAAGGGCTCTGGCCTCATAAATGGATGGAACCACCTTGTTACTAAGATGGGGGTTATTATTGTGGTAAAGGAAGTTTGACCACTGTCTGATTCTCTCAGGCGTTTGTGCCCTTCACTGTTCTGCCATGGATGATGCAGCAAGAACATCTTTATCAACGCATCCCCCTTGATCTTGCACTTCCCGGCCTGGAGAACTGTTAGAAGTAATTGCTCCAACTTACCCAGCTTGGGGTACTGTTACAGTGGTCTCCAACAAACGAAGGTGCCCCCAACTCAACCTTCGCTCCCACTCACTCTCTCTGTTGTTGTATTCATTTTAGTTTTCCTGCATGTTTATTTTTCCAGGTGAAATTCAAGACCATTTTTGCCAGTTTTATTTTTCTTAACCCTGATCACATTAAATGTATAGGTTGGGGCCCAGCACAGTGGCTCTTGCACACACCAGGGGTGTATGGGATATATGGGCATCAGTTAGTATCCAAGCTACTCCACTTCAGGTACCTGCTTGTGGCCTGGGAAAGCAGTGAAGGGTGGCCTGGAGGAAGCTCCTGGCTCTTTGCCTCAGATTGGTTCGGTTCCAACTGTTGTAGCTGTTTAGGGAGAGAACCAGCAGGTGGAAGATCCTCTCTGTAGCCCCTTTGTAAATCTACCTTCCCAATAAGATAAACCTTTATTTATATATGGGGTTGATTGATAGAAAAATCATGTCTTCTCAGTACTGAGGTTCTTACTCAAGATACAACGTGCTTTCCTGCTTTTCCCAGTGTTTTCCTATGTCCCCTGCAAAGGTTTGCATACCCATTATTTCCTATTTCCATGCCCCCATACACATTACCAATTTCTAGTAAAGTTTACTGCAGTTATTCCATCTTGACATCACTGTTGCAAATGGGATCTTCTATCACATTTATTTTTGTGATTTCACATGGGAAAGTTATGAGTTCTTTTCATATTAGTTCTACAGTTAGTCACTTGCTGATCTGAAAGGCTCACTGTATTCACTTTTTCCAGACACAATCATCTGCAAGTACTGACCTCTCAATAGTTTCTCTCATTTCTTTCCCCAGCTAGCTGCATCCAACTAAGTTAAATAGTCCTGATATGGGGGGATACATGTTTACCCATACTTTTAGTTGCCGATTTGGGAAATGTATACCAGTAAGCCTTTGTACCCATGACCCATCTCTCAGCAGTGTAGGAAATCACTGGTTTGATCGACTTTTCCCCACCTGAAACATACTGCTTACTTTGATGATCGCAAAAAGAATACTTGAGTGAAACCTGATCCTGCGAGACCAACCAGAGCCCCTTGTTGTCAACAATAACCCCCTGTGCTAGTACAGCCCAATCTCCTGTCTCTAGGCTATAATTGACCAGGCTCCCATGGAGATGCCATTCTTATCTGTGTGTGTGTATGTGTGTGTGTGTGTGTGTGTGTATGTATGTGTGTGTGTTTCAAAGGCAAGGATAGCAAGAAAAAGAGGTCCCTTGTCCTCTGGCTCACTCTCCAAACACCCAGACTTGAACCAGGCTCTCCCACTTGAGGCTGTGTCCCAGGAAGCTCATTCAGGAGCAAACTAAGCCAACACTGACCTTGTAGGATCTGAGTCTACCAAGCAGCATCTTAACCATCGGGTCCAAGAGCTACCTCAATCTGTAAAGCCTTATTTTAAAGGAAGGCAGGTAGGGAGACAGAACCCAAGAGATGGATTTTCCTTGCTCCGGTTCATTCCCCCAAATGTCTGCAATAGGAAAGGCTGGGAGTCTGGAACACTTATCTGAAATCCTGCCTTGATTTCTCCCATAGGAAGGACACTCCCTGTCTTCGACCATTCCCTTCCCTGGCTGATGCTGGGAAGACAAGGGACCAAAGGATCATTTGCCCTCTCCTCTCACCTGCCTTGATGAGCAAAACTGGGCTGACTTCACCAGCCAGTCTCCATTGCAGTTACCAAGAGGGCAAGGGCTTTCAAAAAATACATATGAATCTGTATTTCAGAGGAGGACAGCGAGAAATCAAGAATCCCCACCTCTTGGCTCACTCCCTAAATGCCCCCAGTGGCCGGGGTGCAGAACCTGGGAACTCAATCCAGATCTCCTATGAAAGCAACAGGAACTCAAGGACTCGGCCCATCAGGGTTGCCTCCCAGGGTCCGTTATCAGAAGCTGGAATCAGGAGCCAGAGCTTGGACTCACACCCAGGGCCTCTGGTGTGGAACACTGTTGTCTTTCCCACAGGCTTACTGCCCACCCCTCACCGAGGACCCAGGGTAGGACTATAAAACGGCCCAAGTCACAGTAGCAAGGCTATCTCCAAGGACACACTAAGCCATGCCAGAGGTGGTTGAAAATGTATTTATTTTTCTTCAAACGATCTTTTTCGAGCAATAAATAAAAACAGACATGTCAACATTTTCTAAAAAAAAAAATTAAATTCCCTACACACACTATGTACATCCTACAGGACAGGCATATCAAATGTAGAAATTACACCACTCCGAAAGATGAGGCTGTATTTACACGAGTTACAAGTATTGCATTGCTGTCTTCATGGAGTCTCCTTGCCTGAAGGCTTCCAGCCTGGAGGAGGAAAGGCGCCCTGCAGGAGGAGGGACACTCCATGCCAGATGGACCAGCCTCAGCCAAAACGTCAAAGCACCACACTGCCCCGAGTCCTCCGGCAACACTACATCATCAGCAGGCTCCCAAGGAACAAGAGCAGATGCCCCAATACGGAAGCAGCTCAGGGGAAACCGTCCGGGGTTCTTCAGCCAGGATGGGGCTGGCCTTTTTGGCCATGCTGGACCAGAGGCAAACCCTGGCTGAAATGACCTACTAGCTCTGTGGCAGTGAGACCCAGCCTCTCTCCAGGCCAGAGCCCCAGCTGCCCACTGCTCCTGGGTCCCACCCACTGGGATTCCGATTGGCCTTGTGTGGGAAGAGGTAGATTTCCCAGTCTGGAAGCCCCTTGATGACCCTCATGAACAGTGGAGGGTAACTACCGCTTTCCATGCTGCAGGCTTCGTGGGCAACTCCCAGCTCCTTGTCTCCTTCATGCTTCAACCAACGATCCCAGCCCCCTTCACTCCATTCTCCCAAGGATTTGTAACTGCTCCCCGATCTTCTTGGGATCTCTCTGGAATCCACCTGGAACAAGCACCCCATCACAGGGCCCCAGGAAGGCAGTCCCAAAGAGGCCTGGGTCACTTGCTCCACACAGCATCAGTCTCACTGTTTGGGTCCACTCCACAGAAGCCCATGGTGGCTGGTCCTCTGGTCTCCAGACCTTCCTGTGCACCTGCAGCGTCCTTGGGGCCAATAAGAGAACCCATCATCAGGCAAGTGCAGCAGTGCTTTGTGGCCATTCCAAAGGTTTCCCAGCCCCAGCAGATACCGCACAGGAGGGGGGCATCTGAACTTCATTGAGGGCCACACTGACTGCAGTGTGGCTTCGTTAGAGTGGTTCAGGTCATCCAGCAGGTTTCGGATGGAGGGCAACAGCTCCAAGGCCCCCTTTCCCATCAAGTCAATGTCTCATTTACCTCTCTGAGTGTTGGGGCTCATGCTGATAGCAGGTGCAGAGAAAAATGGCTTTATAAACAGCTGCCTGACATCCAAAGATCTGAATTGGCAAGCAGGTGGAAGACACGGGGGCAACCAGTTCCAGGCTGGTCAAAGTCTGGCCAGGAGAACAAGGGAGCTTTTACCTAATGCACACCCAATCTACAAAGAACGAGTAAGTTCTGCCGCCAATGTCCCTCCCCTCGCAGCAGCCCCTCCATGCCCCGCACAACTGCTGTTTCAGCTACAGACCAACCCCCTTGACCCTCAGCGGGGACCTGACCTCCAGGGATCCAGAAGAATCAGGAGCATTGCACCTCTGCCCACTCTAGAAACAGGCAGCTGTCTGGTAACCCCCACCCCACCCCACTCCTTTGGAAATCATTTAGCCAAGCACCTCCAGGGGCCAAGCAGGGCGCCTCTGGCCCCAGCCAAAGGGGTGGGAAGAACGCAGCTTCGGAGTTCAAGGAGCCTGGTGTTATCTGGGAGACACAAAGTCCTTTCTGGGGGAGGAAGAATGTCCGTTTCCACGGAGGGCTACAAGACACAGGCTCTCACTTCTACAGCGCTAATCTGCCCCACGACACGACACAGCAAATCACCCACAGAGACCACCCCACCCCCTCCCCACACACCTGCCCCACCCCAGCCCTCCCCACCCCCAGAAGACACACCTTCTGCCACTAAAGCTACTTCTCCACTTGACCAATGGCAATGACCCCTGGGCAGCCAGCAGGCCTGGCCCCACCTCCCTCAGTAGCCTCTCTAGGGCCCTGGGATGCGAATCCACCGAGTTCCCATCATTCCCGAGGTAAAACCAGGGGTTTCGGGACACTAGAACTTTCCAGCACACCTCTGGTGACAAGCAAGGGAAACCACGGGGCTGCAACTGGGGAAAGGATTCATTTCTGGTCTCTTTCTGGGGATCCGGCTCTCCCCGCTGCTCTGGCCCATGAGGTGCTTGCGGAAGAGCTGAACTGCACCCAGTTTTCCAAGAGCACCTTAGATGAGATAGCCTTTACCAAAGGTGACACCCCAAGCCTCCAGGAGGCCCACAAGAAAGACGTTTCACCCCCACGGTGGTCATGGGAGAGACAAGAAGTGGGGACAGAGAATGTGACACAACCCCACGGTCTGGGTGTGCCCAGCTTCCAGGAGATCATCACTTTCTCTTCCTGTCCCATCCCGCCTTCTTTCTGGGCAAGGGGGCATTCATCAGGCTCGCTCCGGCCTGTGGCTCTGCCCACTGTTGGACATCGTACTTCACAAATTCTCCATTCACTGCCTCTGCACCTGCACAAGCCATGGGAATGCTTCATAATAAATATCCACCTGCTGGAGACTTCAGAAGCAAAGATTCCTCGGTGAAAACAAAGTTCCTGTAACTACAGCCCCACCCCACCCCCAACAAAAAGTCAGCACACAGAACCAGGCACTTGGCTGTCCTCTTCGCTCCCCTCCTCTCACTCCTACTCCCCAGAATCAGATGGGTTGGGTGGAGCTCATTTGCCAGGATCTGAGGCTGCCCTAACTTCAAGCCTTAACTGCTTAGGGGGGAAAAAAATGAGGTAAGAATTTTCTATTGGAAAAGCAAAACAAGACACAAAAACCAAGCCAAGGCCCTCCCTGGCAGCCAAGGAGGCAGCCGTTATTGCTCTAAGTTGGGAGTGTTTGGCTGTTTGTTAGAAATCCGAGTCAAAGTCCTTATTGCCATTCGAGCTGGCCCTGCGGTTGGCCAAGGAGAGGTGGATGGGTCAAGCAGTGGAGGCACCTGCCCTCCACCCACACACACACACACACGTGGCTCCACGCCCCCAGCCCAGCCCAGGGCCAGCTCTGGTCTCCCAGGGGTAGAGAGGGAGGTCCCAGGGCCAGAGGGGGGCGCGACTCTAGCAGCTGGGGGAGGTGGTGATGGGACTGTGCAGGTAGGGCAGGCTGCTGGGGGCCGAGTGCACGCCAACCGACACTGGGAAGCTGAAGACAAACTGCGAGGTGGGCGTGGGGGTGCTTGGACCCCGCTCCCGCAGGGGCCCCGAGGGGCTGGCGGCCTCCGCAGCACATGATGTGGCCAACACCTGGGACTCAAACTGCAGTAGCTGCCCCATGAAGCTGAAGTTGGGCGAGATGACACTGCGCCGCTGCTTGACGAACTCAAAGGCCTCCTCCAGTCGCACGCGCTGCTTCATCATCAGGTAGGCCAGGCAGATGGTGGCCGAGCGCGAGATGCCCGCCTGGCAGTGGACCAGCACGCGGCCGCGGCACTCCTTCACTGCATCTGCGGGGATAGGGGGACACAGGGGGGGGCTCAGGGTCACCACGGAGCCTCCACCCCTGTTGGTGGCGGGGTCACTCCCACGGGTGTCTCAGGCCCAAGCTCGAGAGACATCTGCCTCCCTCGCTTTGCCAGGCATAGTAAGCAAAGAGCTGAATCAGAAGCAGAACAGGCACTCAAGCCGGCATTCCGACAGGGGACGTTTGCGTCCCAAGTGGTGACTTCATCGGCTGCATCACCATGAGCTCAGGCCTGCCAAGGCATCCCTGACACATAACCCACCCGCAAGCACTGCATCTGGGTGGAACCTGCAGCGGCAGCTGGTCGGGGCCATCACACCTGCAAGGGCGTCCGTGTGCAGAAACCAGTGATCCAGCTTTCCTGTCTCCTGCTGGGCTGTCGGCGGCTGCTTGCCTCCCACCCCACTCCCACCCTGCAGGTGCCACACAAGGCTGTGTCCGTCACACCCTCCCTTTCTCCCTCCGCCCCTGGATCCTGGGGGAGCCCAAGGCTGGGTAGCCACTCACCAATGTACTCAATGGCTTCCATGAACCAGGAGCTGATGTCGGCCTTGTGGTTGTCCTCCACCGGGATGCACTTGTACTGGTAGTGACCTTCGAAATGGTTCGGGCAGTCGGAGGAGACGTTGAGCAGAGCTGTGATTCCCAGGGCGTCCAGCATGTCTCTCCGCGCAGCATGATAAGCACTGCCGAGGTAGAGGAAGGGAAGGATCTCCACAGGACCCCCCTGTGCCAGGAAAGAAAGCAGACACCCGCCCACAACAACATGAGTGCAAGATGCGGAGGCAGGCTCAGGCCAGGGTGGTGGGGGAAGCCTGGCTTGTGGCTCCCCGTCCCCACTGGAGCTTTGACACTTGCAGGTGGCAGAGAAGCCAGCAGAGGACATGCCCTGCCGGGCTGCAGCAGCTCAGCTCTTCGAGCTCACATCTGCTCAGCAAGCCATTGCTGCATGGCTGAGGGACTGAATGAGGGGCGCTTCCCTTTCACTTAGCAAACAAAACAGATGCCATCTTGTTCTTAAAAACAACAGCGGTGCCCTCCCACCCCTAACCCCTAGCAACAGGCCCTATAGCGTTGCAGGGTTAAGTGGCCGCCTAGGAGGTTTGAGTCCCAGCTAGTCCGCTTCCTATCCAGCTCCCTGCTAATGTGCCTGGGAAAGCAGCAGCAGATGGAGGGCCCAAGTGCTTAGGCCCCTGCACCCATGTGGGAGACCTTGAAGATGCCTCTGGCTCCTGGCTTCAACCTGGCTCAACTCTAGCGGCCGCAGCCATTTAGAGAGTGAAGCAGCAGCTATTTAGGGATTGAGTCAGCATATGGTTGATCTCTCTCCTTCTCTGTCCCTCTTTTCAGATAAATAAAAATAGATCTGGAAATAAAAAGAGCCTTGCTGAAAATGCTGGACCCCATCACTCACTCCCTGTCTATCTCATGGGAGTGTGCAGCAAATGCGCTTGCGAGAAATGCGGCAGCTCAGACCTGCACTTGTGAGAAGTAGAATGGTTGTCCACTTTTGTCTGCTTGGCATTTATGAAAACCTGAATTAAAAGGCAAGCTCATTTGGGCACAAAAACCTCTCCATCCATGTGTACTTTCTTCACATTTCATCTTCCGCAAGATCCTTCTCTCATTTGAGAGGCATGGCTTGGCTCCACAAATACCTGTGAGCACCAGGGCTGGACCAGGCCACACCCAGCAGCCTAGAGCTCCAAATGGGTAGCGGGGGTCCAACTGCTGGGGCCACCGTCTGCTGCCTCCCAGGTGTGTGTGAGTAGGAGGCTGGAACTGGGAGTGGAGCCAAGACTCAAACCCCCCAAAGTTTTTAAAGGTTCATTTAACACCTGTTAAAAAAAATCCAAATTCTGCTAGGAGGCTTCACCCGCTTCCCATCCCTCGCTCCTGAGCTCAGAGCCTGGAGTCTACCTGGTCGTGCAGGGGAGTCCCACAGGAGCTGCAGCCCAGCTCTAAGGATTCCGTAGCACTCGGAGGCACAGGGGGTGGGATGGCTGCCAATGCCTTGGTCTTGGAACAGAATTCTGGGTACTCGGAGGAAAACCTCTCATAGCCACCTGTAAAAGCAGAAAAAAGCAGCCCAGGTTAACAGAGTCACCTACTGGAAGCCACAGCCAGTCAATCCTACCAGGCTGAGCAAGAAGGAAATTCTGGAAAGGCTGGCCGGCTGCACAGCTGCCACTGGGTGGCGCTGTGGGCCTATCGATAACGCCTAAAGCACACTGCTTCCAGAGACGCACAGCCCACCAGCACCGATGCTTGCAAGGATGCTGGCCCTGAAAAGTCTCCAGTGCAGGTGTAGGGGCTTCAGCTAAAGAGAACACGCCAGACACAGACGGGGCAACTCTTCTGGGGGAAGGAGGAAGCTCAAGTGAGGAAAGTCAGGAGCACCTGCAGTCACCTGCCACTTGGACATAGGTACCCAGCCCAGATCCCAGCTCCCTTGCAGTTACCACCATGCTGGAAGGCAGAAAAGACAGGTGCCTTCGCCACTAGCCCTACTGGCTGCCCATGGTGGGTGGGGCAGATGCCAAGGGGAACCTGGGTCCTTTAGAAGCGCGGAAAGATCCTGGGACTGACCAAGAGCTGGTTAAACCCTGGCAGGACCCTGGCAGGGCCTTCTTCAACAAGGGCTCATTGAAGAAGGGAGGCCTTTTAACTGTAACGAAGCCACATCAGCCCGTGCCAGGCCAGGCAGCGGGGCTGGGAGTGGCAGAACCATGCACACAGATGCACAGGCGTCAGTCTGTTCTCCAGCTTGCAGCCTGTCGCCCGGCTGAGGGCAATGGGCAGCCTGTTTGCCACCCCCTCCCCTTTCATTTTTGTTGTGTTGTTTCTCCAGGCCCAGTACAGGGCTTTTTAGTTATCTATTTCTATTTGGTTGTGTTTATTTTAATGGCAGAGAGCGAGCCAGAGGGATCTTCTATATCTGCTGGCTCAACTTTGCACCTGCTGGCAATAGCCAGAGCTGGGCCAGTTGGCAGCCAGGAGTCAGGAGCTCCAACCACATCTCCCAGGTGAGTGGCAGGGACCCCAGGCCTGGGACTACTGCTTCCCAGGCACACAGTGACAGGAACTAGAGATGGAAAACAGTCACACTTGAACCCAGGAGCTGTGAAAATGAGACATGGGCATTCCAAGAGATGGCTTAACCACTCTGCCAAACACCACCTCGGCATAGAAGAGGACCTTACTAACACAATGGGGTTTTTTGCATGTTTGGAAACAGCCATTCATTCATCCCTTCCCAGGCTAAGTTGGGAAGGGGACGCTGGTCTTGGGACGTCCCAAGCCATGCCCACATGTATCTAAGTACTAGACTCCTGGCTGCTCCACTACTGATTCAGCTTCCTGCTAACAGGCCTGGGAAAGCAGCAGCAGTTGACCCAAGTGCTTGCCCCATGTTGGGAGACCCAGATGGCGACCCAGACCTCTGGCTTTAGCTTGACCTAGCCCCACACGTTATACCCTTATGGGTAGTGAATGAACCAGTGGATGAAGATATTTCTCTCCCCCTTCAAATACATAAATAAATCTCTAACATCAGAGAAAATTAGGCGCCACGTTGGCCGTGGGTCCCGGATGTAGCCAACAGTCTCCATCCACAGGAGGGAGCTACAGAGCTGTGCCTTTGCATCACCCTGGGGAAAGGGGGGCAGCACGTGGTTAGGCAAGCTCTGGCCCCTAATCCCCACCCTAAAAACAGCTTCCTCTGGCTCCCAGGGGAGCCACATCACAAGGTTTCCAGAAACAGGGCATTCCGTTTTCTTCTCTGACCGGAGGTTTCACTGTCCCCTCCTCTCCCGCCTGCAAGATATAAATGGCATGCGCTCCCTCTCTAGTCACGGCCTCCTTCCTGCTGACTCACAGTGGATGCTGGGGCTACTGTGGCCAGCTTGGGTCATGCCAGGGGCCTGAACAGCACTCATCTCCCTAAAGAATCCCCCTCCGCCACCCCCCCCCCCCCCCCGGTCACGGAACAAGGGAAGAAACGGGCGATAAGCTTCCGTAGCCCAAGTCCCTCTGCTGGGCGCCTCTGGGACCAAGGAGCTTTGACCATCACTTCTATTTGGAGAAAGGGGACAGCTGGACAGGTGCAATCAATGAGTCCTGGCAGGTGACCACCTGCACCACTGTCATGTCTTGTTATTCCACAAGTCTCTGTAGGCTTGCAGTGGAGTTACCCCACAATCCTGGGGCCTACATATGATGTGTAGGACTTGAGTGGTACCCCCCAAAAGCTTACCTCCCAGACACACAGGGATCACCCACACAAGGGAAGACAACCAAAAGAGGCTCAACAGGTCACAGGGAAAGAGCAGTTGGGATCCCCCAGATCTCACTGCGAGCGAAACACAAAGAGCCCCAACCCCCTAGAGCAGCAGCTGTGTGCCCCGGGCCCCTTGTTTAACCTGAGTCACCCTCCCAAAAATGTTGGAAAGGCAGATGTCCCATGGAGGTCCTTGCTTAGCACCCATGGCGAGGGAGCCCTCCGTGGACGTCCCCGAAGGCCCCAGAGGGGGAGCATGACAAGGCCTGCAGCTTCCTGGGCTCCCCGAGCACCATATGGCAGGCAGGTCTGACACACAGCAGCTGCTGGAAAAGCAGAAAAGGTAGCGCTGCCATGAAGGCTATGGAACAAGCCCCCCCCCCCAAAAAAAGAACGTGGGGAGCAAGAGCTTGGTCCGGGAGCAGGCGTGCTGAAAGGCTCTGCTGCAGGACAGGCCTGTGGCTGTGCGGTCTGGCCCTGGAGCGCCCCGCACTCGGGAAGTGCCGGCGGAGGGAAAGCCAGTGCTGGCCAGACTCCGGTCTCAGCTCTGCATTAGCGAAAAGTGCAGACACTGCCAAGCGAGGTCCTTGTACATGAGTGCAGCCAGACCGTGTGGAAACATGGGTGCTTCCGTCTCGCCACGACGGGTGCACTTTTCCTCTTGCCACTTGGAAACCGACCTGTGGCTCAGCTGTCTAATCCACCTTGGCCGACAGCCTTCTTCTCCTGGGCCACCCGGCCAGGACATCCGCACTGCTTCTAGCCACTGGCTTCCCAGCTCGGGCTGCCAACGATGTCGGGGCCAGCATCCGTCCTCTCCCCGTGGCAGGAGTGAGTTAGGACCCACTGCACTGGAAAAGGGTGCTGTGTCCTGGATCCTGCATCCCTCTACGGCGACCCAATATGAATTAAAATAAGATTTCTCACCATGAGTGGGGTGGGACAAGAGACTCTAAGACTTGCCTTCCATCCCTCCTCCCCAGGCCCCACCCCCATGCGGTGCCACAGTCACAGAAGAAGAGTTGGATCCTTACGTTTTTATCCAAAGCTCTTGAGAAGCACAGCCAGCTGCCGACACAGACAAGCTCAACCAACGTGTCCTGCAGGTTCCCACACCAAGGCAGCTCTAGCCCTGTGAACTTGGGCAGCCACTTGCCCCGGCAAACTCTTTTTTTTCCCAGACCCGGAAGGATACCAGGAGACAAAGTTCTCTCCATATCACAGGATTCTAAATGTCCAGAAGCCACTTTCATGCTGGTCATTTTTACCGATTCCAAAAGCAGCAGTTGCCTGCAATGGATGTATCTGTCTCCTAAATAAGATATCCTAACTAACATGCCAATGAATTGTTTAACTTCAGGGAAAAAAAAAAAAAAACTTTGACTCACTCTGATCCAGTTTTCTCAAATCTTTATTAGGATGCATTTCTGATTTTTAAATCTTTCATTTTAATACTGTTAACACTTGAAAGTCTAGGAGGAAAAAACCTAAATAGCAGTATGAACTCCCTCTCTCTGTCCGGCAGCTGAAAACAACCCCCCCAGTAAACTGTCCCCCGCTGGTGACTTTCTTCCCTAGCAGGAGATATCCTACATAAATGTCGCCGACCACCAGAAGATGCACCAACACGTGCTGAGGGACTCCCGACAGTAGACCCACAGGAACCATGCGGATGGACCATGGGCACAGTTCTTGGTGGGATGGCCATTTTTTCCCATGATCCTCTCCATGCTCAGAAAATCACCTGTTCCCACCCAAGGTGCAGGACCCTGCTCTCCGGCCTAGCCTGGACGTCTGGGGTTACCTGAAGGTCACTGGCTTTGGAGCACACTCACCCAATGTGACCGATGACCCATGTCTACGGTCAGCCCAGTCCCTGCATGCTATCGGCTATGCTCGGCACGCCAGCTTCCTTCCGTTGGATGCAGAAGTTGGCTTCCTGTCCCACTTCCTCTGGTTAGCCCAGAGCTGCGGGCTGGTAAGGATACCGGCTATCGGGTTTCAGACATGCAGAGTTCTTCTCCATGGCATTTTTCAGCTTCTTCCTGAGGCCACCTTTCCTGCCCAGCTTCTCCAGCACAGGCCCGAGGAAGCCCAGTGCTCTCCCAAGCGCATACCCCAAATCACACCTGGAGTGTGGAGATGTCTCTTGGCTTGCTCCAGTCACGGTAATTACCTTAACAAATGATGACAGCGAGTGGGTATTCTCTTTCAGGTCCACTTTTCATTGTAAACTGGCTTATGAGAAAGGCAGAGCTACACAGAGGGAGAGAGACAGACGAACACCTGCTGCTCCACTCCCGAGATGGCCGCAATGGCCACAGCGGCCAGGGCTGGGCCAGGCTGAAGGCAGCAAGCAGCACCCAAGAGCTTCTTCTGGGTCTCCCATGTTGGTGCGGGGGGCCAAGCACTCAGCCCATCCTCCACTACTTTTCCAACCACATTGACAGGGAGCTGGATTGAGACGGGGAGCAGCGGGAACTCAAACCAGTGCCTCTATGGGATGCCAACAAGCGGGTATTCAACTGTGTCTCCCACCATGAGCTGTCAGGAACGTCACACATCGCACGGGTACAAGAAAAGTCAGGCCCTTCCATTTTCAGTGCAGAATGAGGGCCAGCTGGGCAGGTCCTCCGGTTGCCCTGAGATAAAGACCCAGGCACCCAGAGACGCAGCACACAGAGGGACGCCACAAGGCAGGTCCCAGCAGGCCAGCTGCGGGCCTGCTCCATTCCACCCTCGGCCTGGGCATTCACGATCGCCAAGGTAGCAGAGGTCAAAGGCCGGGCCCAGGGAAAGCAGCTTATGGCAGAGTCCTACAACACCAGGTACATGAATTCCAAGCTTCAAGGGGACACTGGAGGAACCCTAGGTGCTCCTCCCAACTCAAAAAGGACACACACCCCTGGTGGCAACTAACTTCTACCTTCTTTTCCTTTCTTTAAACCAGGAGTTCAAATTCTATGTCAGAGATGAAGGAACGGAGAAGAGGGAAGGGATTCCAAAGGAAACATGTGCTGGGACAAAATCACCACCAGCACCCAAAACAAAAACAAGATTGGAAATCCCTTAACCCTTCCTGAAAATTACTTACAGGATTTTAGATTAAAACAGGCTTTAGTGCCTGGCACGATGGCTCAATTGGCTAATCTTACACTTGCAAAGCATCGCCACCACCCATGTGGGCACCAGTTTGAGTTCCAGCTGCTCCACTTCCCATCCAGCTCCCTGCCTGTGGCCTGGGAAAGCAGCAGAGCATAGTCCAAAGCCTTGGGACCCTGCACCTGCATGAGACAGGGAAGAAGCTCCTACTTCCTGCCTTTGGATTGGCGCAGTTCTGCTAACTGTAGCCAGGTGACGAGAACCAGCCGATGGAAGAAGGCCTTTCTCTAACTCTTTCAAGTAAAATACTACTACTACTACTAATAATAAAAAGTGATCGCAATGGCAATCTTTGACCAGCAAAAATACAGAAAACCCTGCAAACTGTGACTTACTGCTTTCAACAAAACTTGGGTAACATGAGACTTTGTAGATGAAAGTCAAATTTATTCACATCTCAGGAATTCCAGGGTGGAATCCGTTACTCGGCACTAACCCTGAGTAACCCTTTGCCATTCCGAGTGGCATCAAGAGGGAAACCGGATTTTTAAATGCGATGCATAAGTAGCCTCAGATTAGGTCTTGGCTGGGACGGAGGGCATGGCTTTCTACTGCCCACCTCCCTAGCCAGGGAGGCGACCCGAACCATCACTGCCCTCACCCACCTGCTCACCCAAGCCCCTGCCACCGGCGGAGAAATGAGACACAATAAAAGCCTTCATTGCCTAGTAAGTGTCAAATGAGCAGCTCCGGTGGGAACCAGATTACGCCAACCTTCATCAGTTCAGGCATTTGCTCAAGATTAGCCGAGGGGCTCTGCTCTCTGGTCTTTTTTCTCTTTAGATCCCTGCACCGCAGGCCCGCCCCAGGAAGCCACATCCTCCCCACTCCTCTCAAACAAGCAGAACTCCGGTCCCTGGGAACCTTCAGACCTCGCTCCATACCCGCTCGCACCGCCCAACCTCAGGCTGCACCTTCCTCGCCGGGGGTGGAGGCAGAGCAGGGAGGTGTGTGGGGGGCTGTCTTCCCATGTTCCCTGCGGAAGCTTTCGCGCACACAGGGCAGGGAGGACAAAGGGCCTGAGTTACCAGGCGGCCTAGGCTCCAAGAAAACACCTCCCTAGGAAGCTCCACACAGCATGGCCGGGTCACCTCCCAGCTCTTCCCCCACCACTGACCAACAGGCTGGGTAGTAGCCCACCCTCCAAAAAAAAAAAAAAAAAAACCACGGGTTCCAGCTCAACTTCTGCCTACTGCTGGGGGCAGTGGGAGAAAGGAGGTTGTTGGAAGGGCGCTACTTTCCGTGGCGCGTCAGATGTTAAAACTGCCCGGGCCACGATCCTACCTCCCACCCCGAACCCCATCTTCATCTCCCAGGAGGTTGCCCCCTTTGGCGCGCAGCAAAGGCTGGCCCTCCTGGCCGCGTCGCAGGCGGTGCAGGCCTCGGGAGACAGCCAGGCACCTCACCCCCAAGCTCCTGCCAGGAAACTCCCCGAAGCCTCCTGTCTCATTCAGTGGGGACCTCAGCATCTACATCGCGCAGAACGCTGTCAGTAGAGGGTAACCGTCCATGGTGTCCGGAATCTAACTGCTGGCGTTCCGGAAACACCAAGGCCTAGAGTCTCCGAGCCGCCGCTCGGGGGGAGGGGGGAGTCCCCTCAGGAAGGAAAAGAAAACAAAACAAACGCAGGCTGCACGTGGGGCCCGTGCGATCCAGCGTTCCCGGGTGCTCCTGCGCGCAGAGGTCCGCGAGGGGACGCGCGCACTGGGCTTGGCGGCCGGTCCCCGGCCTCGAGGGGCCTTACGTGCCAGCCCAATTCGTCGTGGCACCGGCGCCTGAGCCTCAGACCACGGCGCCCATGCCGACCCTGGAGGTCGCCCAGGTACCTGCCGTGTGGGAGGCGGGAGAATGGGGGTCCCGGCACGGCAAAGTCTTAGAAGGGCCAGGCGGTTTCCCCGGCGCGGTCTCTTAAAGCAATTTGGAAACTAGGGCAGCGGGGGGTGGGTGGGTCTAGGTCTCCCACGGAGGTGCCCAAGGCAGTCCTAACAGAATAGAAAAAAAAAAAAAAAAACCAAAATCGCCTTAGCAGTTCAATCAAAGGTCAAGACAGTCTTTCCCCCAGCAGCTGACAGGTCAAATGGTCAGGAAACAACTGCAGAGAACAAAGCCCCCCGCTGTTACAGGGGCAGCCCGGCTGGCAGGCGCAGCTCGGCCTGGTCGTGCTTTAGTGGGAAGAGGGGAACAGGTCTCCAGGTTTCCGCCCGCTCTCCCTTCCTTCCCCGGAGAACAGGTCGGGAGAGAAGTGGGGGAGAGGCGGGAGGGGGCGAAAGGCGCCTTCAGGGAAAGGGGGGCGGCTCTTTGATGGCGCGGCTCGGAACCGCCTGTCGAATTCGGAAGCCGAGACACAGGAATGCGCGGAATGCTGCGGCCGGGGTCGGGGTCGGGAAGCAGGGGCGGGGAAGGGGCGCAGCGCGGCAAGCGATGGGGGTGCGCCTCGACTCCCCCACCAACCCCGGCCCGGCAGGTGCGGCGGGCGCACCGTGGCGGCAACGACTTCAGAGTCATTTAGGGGTTTCCGCCTGCTCAAAGACCACAGGACTTGGCCTAACCCCTCTTTTACCCCCGCGCCCCGGCGCCGCTAGGCTAGATGGGCCAGGGTTCACTTCCATCAGGCACGCGCCATCAGACAGCCCAGAGACCCGGTCTGAACAAAAAGATCGTGGGAGAGTCTCCCCTGCCAGGGACTGCCGGGATGAAGAGGCAGGTTTCTACTCTTCGTCTCCCAGCTGCCGGCTCCCCGAGCCCTAAAGTAGCCCTGCGCGGGTGCGTGTGACTGTGTGTGAAGTGGAATGTATGTTTTGGGGGGGAAGCCGACCATTTCCCACGAGGCGTCCGGAGTTGGACAGTTGGTCGGGAGAATCGCTTCCCACCTCGCCTGCCACCCACGCCTCTTTGCTGTATTTTGCCAACGGCCGGACGCTCCCTCGTCCACGGCGTGCTCTGCCTACCCCATCCTCACACCGGGGAGTACTCCCCCGGAATCAAAGACGCCCCGCGTAGACGGCTGGCTTCACCCACGAAGCCAGAAGCGTTACCGAGTACAAGTATCAGCGGTGTAGCCACGAAACGGGCAGAAACGCAGCCACACAGCACCCGGGAAGTTGGGAGCTCGCCCCTCCAAAGCAGAGAGACGCACCAAAGCGGGCAACCCCACGTGGTCATACCCCAGGGCCAACGAGTCGCCACTGGGGACGCCTCTCCCCGGCCCCCGAAGGCGCGCAGGCCACAGAACGCCCTTCCGCTCGCTTTTAGGGCGCCCGCGTTTACCTTTGAGCAGACAGATGTCGGTGCGTTCGGCGTTGCGGCGCAGCGCCTGCACCACCAGCGACACGGTGCTGTCTTCCCGCAGGCTCTCGGCGCGCGGGCTGCGCTCGTCGTACACGATGACGGCCGAGTAGAGGCCGGAACGCAGACGGGCGCGCACCTCGTCCTCGGCGGGCAGGATCTGCTCGAGGCTCACGGAGCCCTTGGCCCGGCGCCGCACGATGGTGTTACAGCGCACATTGACCGAGCCGCGGATGTAGCCCGCGCTGTGCGCCAGGAACGGTCTGCAGTCCAGCAGCAGGCACTTGCCGCCGCTCAGCAGCCCCAGGGCGCCGCCGCCCTCGTCCCGGTTCATCAGCCTTTTGAGCACGCTGCAGTCCATCTCCCGCAGCTCCTCCATCGTCACCATGGTCGCCGGCAAGCGCCGAGGAAGCCAAGGGCACCCGGGCCGGCAGGGATGCAGGAAGGGTCAGGCGAGGGCTGCGCGTTGGCGCCTGCTCAAGTGGCCGCAAACTTAGACCCCGAGACGCTCCTCGCCCGGACAGCTTCTCCCCGTCCCCTTCCTCCCACCGCCTCGCGGTTACATAGCAGGCGGAGCGGAGCGGCCTCGGGCTCCCGGGCTGGGCGGCTCGCCTGGGACCCGGGCCGGAGGTGCGAGCAGTGGCGAGGAGTGCGTGTCCGTTTAACCCGCCCGGTGGCGCGGCCGGCGGCACCGCGGATCGCCCAGGCACAGTCGGAGCCGCGCGCACTACCGGGCCGAGCTCCCTCCACGGCTGATAGGGTTATTAATGTTCCTCTGGCTCCCCCGGGGAGGGCACGCATTACTACCCCGCGAAGCTCCGCCTCCTCCAGGCTCGGCCCCGCGCCCTCCCGCCTGCCTCTTCCCCGCCCCGGCGCGTGAATGGAGCAGCCGGCGGCTCGCGCCCAGTCACGGGGCCGCGACGTCACAAAGAGCGGAGTAAACAGGCCGCTCGCTGCGCTCAGCCAGGCCCATTCATAAAAGTGAGACCTAGAGGGAGAGGGAGGCGGCCTCCGACCCGCAGGCGAGCGGCTGCGCCCGGACTTTGTGAATGGGAGCGCGGCGGTGGCGCCCGTGGCCCTCCACCCCGGGGCCCGGAGCCCGCCGCTCGCCTCCGGCGCGACAGCAGTGGCTGAGCCGCCGCTTCCGCGGCCGCGGGGGGATTTGGCGCAGAGGAAATCAACAGCCTGGTCCGGACGCCGGCACTAGCAGGCCAGGGCTTGAGGCTCTTTCCATTTGGATCCCGTGCTCCGCACCTCGCACCCTTAGGACAGCCGCAGATTTCTCCCCCGAACGCAAGTGAAGAGGGGCTTGTGACGCGGAGCCCACCCGGCACGGCCCGGAATCCCTCGCCCTGGTCCCCAGTGTCCCGAACTTAGCGCGTGCGCCGGGCCCCAATAGGCGCGCTCTTAACGCAGGCGTTAGCTTGCGATCTAGTTCCTTCTCCGGGAGCTTTGTAGCTTCCACGGAACGTTGGTAAACCCCAAGTTACGAGATGAAAGTGAAGGCTCTCTTCCCCGCCACCTCCACCGCTGCCCAGGAGCGAGGGTGAGGTGTGGGGGCTGGTGGCTTTACGACCCCGAAGGAGGCGTGAATGGCCCGCGTGTGGTTCCGCGCTTCCCCAAAGATGTTTGTTTAACCCTGGCCGGCTGACGTTTCTGGCTTTGGGAGGCGGGGGACGCTTTGCCCCTTCTCGCACACGTGTGAATTATCTCCGGAGGAAATGACAACTGGGGTCCGCATTTGGTGAGGGGCGAAATCCTGAAAAGAGGCCGAGCGATGACCTTTGGAGAGGATTTCGCGAGCGCGAGCGCCGATTCAGGTTTCTTTGCATCCCGCCTTCCAGGTCCCTCACCCCCTCCCGTTGTGCTTAATGCATTTAATTTCCCCGAGGCCGCTTTTGGCACGGAACTGGTGCTCGCACGCGGCGGGGACCTCACGGAAATCAAAAATTATTCGCCCGACATCTTGCCAAGTCTTGTTAGTGAGAATTAATCACCGAGCGAGGGGGGATTACGGGACGCAGCCGCTTGAATCCTCAGGAGCTGGGTCTCCTGGACCATTCCGGGTGACGCGCCGGACCCGCCCCAGCCCAGCGGGGCCCTCCCCGCTCGTCCTTCCCCGCAGGCTTTTGTTCCGGGATCAGCGGCTCTCTGGAGCTCTCACCTCCGGTCCCCCGGGCCACCAGCCCCAGCCCCCAGCCAGAGCTCAGCGGGGCCTCCATTTCCGAGGTCTCCGACCTGCGCCTCCCACCCACAGCGCCTGGACTCCTACATTCCGGGGTCGTGGCTGGCTGGGCCTGGGGGCTCCAAAGGGGAACAGTGCCGCACCGTACGGATTCTGTCTCTACTTTCTAATTTAATTTTTCGTTCATTGTGAAGTTTTGCATTTTTAATACACGGGCACAAAGACTTTTTTTTAAAAGGAACTTTTCTGCAACCCCTTTAAGGTGAGCGCCCAAGGGACGCGCTCACCCTAGTCCCAGCCTGCAAAGGGGCCGGGGCGCCGGGCACTCCGTTGGCGAGGTCAGCGGTCAGAGGCGCACGGTACGACCTCCCCGGGGGGACGACGAATCAGGCCCCCCGTCGCATTCCTCTTTTTGCAGGGCTGGCTGCCGGACCCTGTCTAACCTGATCCCGTGGGTGCGCCAGGAATGCGCCCTGTCCAAGGTGTCTCCAGACAGCTCCAGGCTTGATCCGCTTTTCCTGGTGATTCGGAAATGCGGCCCTCAACAGTCCCCAAGAGAACCCCGACTTCTCTACAAAGGTTTGGCCAGAACATTTCTTTAAAGAGCCTCTCAGTGGCGGGCAGGTCCGATCCAGTTTCGCCAAGTGTCGCAGGAGATGGGGGGACAGGGCAAGGTAAGGTCCCCGGGCCCAGCTCTGCCTGCCTTTTGTCGCCCCTCTGCGCCGTGGACGCCTCCTCACCAGCCCGGCCCGCGCCCAGCGCTCACGCGGCACGCGAGTAACAGTCCAATTCGGAGCCCGGGGGCGGGGGCAGAAGGAGGAGGAGAATGCCCAGGGAACAAAGAGTTGCTTTCTGCACCTGACAGTCGTCCGTAGTTGCCAGGCCCGGCATCCCGCGGGCGAGTCACACGGCAGGGCGTGTGGGCGGGCTCGTGTGAGTGTCCGCGTGTGCGCGCTGCGCCTGCGCCCTGCTCCCTGGTGGGACGCCGCGACGGACTCGAATCAGGCGTTCAAGGCTGGAGTCTCTTCCCCTGCGAACTCCGAAGGCCTGGGGTCTTGAAACTAACGGCAGAAGTCCCCCATCCCTGGGCCGGGAATTAGCCTTCAGCTGCCTACATTTCCGCAAATGAGATTTTAAATGACGGCATTCTGTTTGGTTACTATGTCAGCACCCCAGATTCGCACGCGCGTGTGTGTCTTTGTATTATTATTATTAAGTGCATAAACCATTTGGTACACAGTGAAAACAACACAACGTAAGGGTTAACTCGCAGCCGCTGAAGGCTAGGTGATAAAACTGCCTTCAATTGCCCAGCGGGCTCGGGAAGGGGGAAAACCATCACTTTACACAGGAAGCTTGTGGAACCACTTGTCAATCACCAGATCTGGGAGTAAACAAAGGCATCCGTAGGAAGATACAGAACTGGACTGTCGTTTCAAAGTTAATTTAATTAACGCAGATCTGCAGGACTGGGGCTGGGCTTGCCCACGGAGAGGCATTTTGTTTACATTCGGCAGTAAGGCGCAGGGTGAAAATACTTGCTAAAATTCACTGTGACAGGTAAGCCCAGCCTCTGCTTCACCCGCCGCGGCTTCCATGGACCTTACGTCGCCCTGAGGCTCTGGAAGCAGCGTTGCTCTCCTTGAACATTTCTTTCCAATTAGGGAGTTGTGTGATCTGGGAGTTCAGTGCTCCCCCAGAGAGGACCGGAGCTTCTATTCTGGTTTCCATGTCAGCCTCTGACTCACCGCCCTGGCCCAGGGTACCTGAGGAGGGCTTGCCTGACACATCGTGAATGAATTAATGCAGGTGCAGCAGACAGAAAAATCCTGCGTCTCTCCCTTTGGCAGAGGAGGGAGGCTCGCTGGAACGTAACTTGGAGGAACTTGGGAGGCTTCAGCAAAGCCCATCCACATCGTTAGTTCTCCTTCAGCCGTCATAAACCAGGAGCCGAGAAGTGGCGGCCCCAAGCGTGGGCCACAGTCCACGAGCCCAGCCTGGAGGGGGTTTAGCCCTGATTTGTTTACTTAAGTCTTTGGCAGCCCGTTTCTCCGAGTACTAACCAGAACCCTTGCTAATGATTTAAATGCTAGGCGTTGAATTCACCGTCTCTGCAGAGAAATATCTCAGCATGCTTCCTTTACTGCTAGGAGGCCTCAGAAAATCCATGGAAAAATGAAATTAAAGGATGAGTTTGGCTGCACAGAGTAAAGCCACTACCTTGCAATGCTGGCATCCAAGCTCTGGCTGCTCCTTTTCCTATCCAGCTCTCTGAGAAAGCAGCGGAAGACACCGAAGTCCAAGGACCCCTGCATCCACCTGGGAGGAAGAAGCTCCTAGCTTCCCGCCTGGCTCGACCTGTGCATAACAGGCATTTGAAGCGGGGGAAGGGGCAGGGAGAGAGTGAACCAGCAGATCTCTCTCTCTCTCTCTCTCTCTCTCTCTCTCACCTTTGATGATGCTTACATAGTTGATCGGGATGGGAAGGGTCAAGGATCAAGAGGAAATGGGCAAGACCATTGTTTACACATTTTCTTTTTCTTCTTCCTGTGTCTGAGAGGAGGGAGGATGCGATGGGAGAGAGCACGCCCACCCTCCCCAGCACCCAGGCCCCCCTTGGCATCCCAGGCCCCCCTTGTGGAGCATGTTCTAAGGGTTGCGCTCAAGTGGTTTCGTTGCCAACATCTGTCTCTGTCTCTCCCTCTAACTCTCGCTTTCAAATAAATACGTCTTAAAAGAGATGAGTGTATTTTGGTGCAAAATAAAGTTTGAAATAATATATTTCACTTGAAACCTATTCAGTGTGTGGGACTATTCAGTGTCTACTGTCATCTTCTCGCTAAGCGGCTTTGACGCAGCTCTAAGGAGGCTTTCACCTCTTCACCATGATGGAGAATTCAGATGGGATGCGTCTCAGGTGTGTCACTGCCAGGCTTGTGAAGTTCCCCAAACTCTTCATCTCTGCACCCCAAGGTCTGTGCATTGAAATAGCAAGACCCCAGGACCATCGCCAGCTCCCTTCTGCCTCTACTTTAGTATATAAACTCACCGAGAACATAGTTGTAATTGTGTCACTATATCTTCAAAGATTTATTTATTTTTATTGGAAAGGAAGATTTACAGAGAGAAGAGACTGAGAGAAACATCTGTGCGCTGGTTCACTCCCCCACTGCTGGAACTGAGCCAATCCAAAGCCAGGAACGTCTTCCGAGTCTCCCACGCAGGTGCACAGTTCCTTCCAAGGCTTTGAGCCATCCTGGATGGCTTTACCAGGCCACAGGCAGGGAGCTGGAAGGGAAATGAAGCAGCTGGGACACAAACTGGCATCTATGAGAAATCTTGGTGCGTGCAAGGTGAGGACTTTAGATCTCAAGCAACGCCCCCAAAAGATTCTAAAGAATCGTGTTTCTTTAAAAAAGAAAAACACTTCAAAGTGCTTTTGTTTTTTGCAAAGAAATATTTCTCTAAGCAGGAA